CCCTGGCATGGGGGAATTAATAATTAAACACAAGCCAGGTGAGGAGTAGTGGGGCTAGAAAGCAATTGCAATATTTCCCTCTTAAAAGGCAGGAAGGCAGGAGCTGGAAGCTAAGTGGCAATTCATCTCCCTTCTGCACAACAGCATTTCCAGGTAAATTATTAGGGATGAGCCAGACACTAATATTTACGTTTCCTGTAGTCAATGGCAGGTTCCAACCTCTCCATGGATGGGGGAAACAGCACAGGAAAACACTGAGAGCACAGACCACCCACTAGCAGTATGGTCAGGAGTGGAAGGGACCCTCCCCAGAGAGATGGGTGGAGCCACTACCTCACCACAGTACATCTTGGGAGCCTTCAGCTAAAACCAGCTCTGAGCCCCTGAGCTCCCTCCACCATGACAGTGGATTTGCTGCAGCCTGAGTGAGGCAGCCCTGGGCTGGCCACCTGCAAGCTGGGCTGGCCCTGGAAGCCCTCGGAGCCACAGAGCCCTCACGGCATTACAGAACCCGGTGGCTCAGCCCATGACCTTGACTTCAGGCACTGGCCCAGCGTGAGGGTGGGTGATGGTTCCCAGCCATTCACCCTGGTGCACAGGCTGCTCTTACCTCACCAAGTGTCCAAAATTCCAGCTGGAACCACCACATTCTAAAGCCAATGGCTCCGAGCCCGAGCGCTGCCCTTTAACAGCACGGCCCCTCTGTGGTGTCTGCGCACAAAGACAGGCAATGTCATCTTCCCGCCGCTCCCTTAACTGCTTATCGATCCCAAAGAGCCTCGGGATGGATTTCTCTGGCTAGCTATCATCCTCCACAGCCCGGGAGATCCCCCCTATATCAGAGAGCAGACATCTCAGTTAGAGCTTTATTTACTGCGAAGGAGCAATTAAACCGTCCTGGTTCGATTTATGGCCAGCACAGATAACCCTGCTCCACACGAGCCAAGGCCACTTTAACTTTCACATACTCACCTCTTGCCAGGTGCAAAAAAAACAGCTTAATTGGTGCGTTTTTTGTATCTCTAGCCCAAATTCAAACCTCATCTGTGATCAGTCCAGTACAAGCTGGGAAATTATTCCCTAGAAATGCATTTAAAAGATTTTTGCTGTGCTCACTGCAGTCACAGAGCCAGAGCTCAACTCATCCAGCTTTGTTTTCTGAAAGCTGCATCCTGAAGGTGATATTTGGGATGCTGGGGATTTAAATGTCCAGCTCCATGCTCAGGACAATGTGGCAAAGCCACCAGGCTATAACGTACAGCAAGTAACACCCGCAGTGCTGCTCTACTTGGAAAAGAAAGACACTGTCACGAGGGCAGGGACACGATGTCTGGTGATGAGGAGACCCAGCTGAACACCCAACCAGCCTTGGTGGAGGGGCTGGAAGCCAGGACACCCCTCACAGCCCCTTCCCAGCAGGCTCCAGGGTGCAGCACCCTAGCACACAAAGCCTCTTGCTGGTCTGAGCCTGAGCTGCTATCCCAGCAGTTTGCCGTGGATAATGTTCATACTTTATGGAAAATCACTGAGATTGATTCAGATCTGCACTTTATTAATTTTTCTAACTACCAGCAGTGAATTAATCCAGTTGGAGACTGACTTAACTTCTCAATAATGCCCAGATTTTCCACACTATCAAATTCATTTCTCATTACCCACAGTGGGGGTTGGGTGGCAGGTGAAGCATCTCGACATTGCTGTGCTGCTCCTTCCAGGCATCCCAGCTGCTGAGAGCCCCCAGGAATACACCGAGTGTCCTTCTTGGGGAGAGTCTGTGGGATTTAAAGAAAATCTCTTTTTAACTAACTCTATGTCTTGGCAGGAAAGAGCATTAAGACTGGGGAGAGAGGGAAGTGCTACTTACAGACTTACGGAGCTGCTACATGGCACCACTTTTAAACTTACAGAAGTGGTTGCTTTCATTTTCAGAGCTGGGTTTGGATCAGTAACAGGCTTCATTTCACATTTTCTCAACTGAGCTCTTCTGCATTTGAACCAGCAGCACGTGCTGATGTGCCCAGTGTCCAGGGATGTAACCTGTCCTCAGCTGCAGCACTGCCCACACCACCTGGAGCCATGGAAGCAGGAGCCCCTGCTGAAGAGCCGTTGTACCCAGCCAGCTCCCCGCTCCTGATGATTAGCTGGACAACCAACAGTCTCTGTTCTCAGCCTCATTTGCCCCTGGCATTGATGGCCTTCCCTGGCTGATGTCCTGAGACCACTTCTGATGGCCCTGCAAGAAGGATGCCAGGAGCCACTCAGCTCCTCACACGTTGCCCAGCACCCAGCACCAATCAGAGTCACCCTGCAACCCAGGGTGAGTGGGAAACTCTCGCAGACACTTGGAAAGCCTCTAAAAAATACATCAATTAATTAAAATATTGACAGTGATAGCCTGGTTATTTTTAAGCTAATCCTTGCAAACAGAGATGGCCTACACCCTGCACACCAGCCCTGCTAAACTGATGTTACCTCCCAACTCTGGGGCCTGATTCAAGTGAGATTCATTTGGGGTTTAATCTAATCACTGTTCCTGGAGTGTTTTCTAGGGTGTTTGCACAGAGCACTTGGGTGATAACCTGAGAGACCTTTCAGGGCAGCCATAGCCCATGTTGGTAAACACCTCCTCCTGCACAATTACAGGTGTCACCACCCACCACACCTGCTTTACAGTCCTGCTTTCCCTTTTGCTTTCACTTCCTACACCCTTCCAGGCAGCTAGTAAGGAGCAGAGAACTTGCCCCAGCTCATTTCCCCATTGCCTTTCTGTGCTCCATGGCACCTGCTGTTGTTGGCATTTCCTGGTGCACTCACACACGGGCATCCAGTCAAAACCACCCCCTCAGCCAGTACTTGGTGCCACACCTGGCCAGGTAGAGAGATCACCTTTATGATGTCCCATAAATAGAGCTGTTACTGGAGCTGGCAGGTGCAAAGATCATCCCTGATGGGACTATAAACTTCATCTCACTTCTGCCTTTTCCCATAGCTTTTCCCATCTCCTCCACAGAAAGCAGAGGTGTGACCAGTTTGACAGAGCCCCAGAAGGTCTTGCTCACATCCTCACCCGCATGGGAAACATCCGAAGCTTCTGCATCACCTGGGCAAGGAGGTAATGACAATTCCAGCAGGGACTGATGGTGTCTTGGAAGCTGCTGGTTTATAGAAATCCTGCAGAATCCATCAGGTTCCTGGAGAGGCAAGATGGGAGCACTGGGATGGGAGGTGTGCTGGAGGCTGGGAGCATTGGGATAGCCATCCATGGTACTGCAGACTTATATACTTTTTTGCTCTCAGATAATGAAAACAAGAGGGAAAAAAATAAAATTCCCTTCTAGCCCTTTGGACAATGTCAGCATGTTAATTTAGCAACTTGCAGGCAGGACAGTATTTTTGTCCCTGCCTATGGCAGGGGGCTTGGAACTGGATGATCTTTAAGGTCCTTTCCAACCCAAACCGTTTTATGATTCATTCTGTGATTTATTGTATGGTGGCAAATTAATTTAGAACAAAAAAAAAAAAATTCAGCATCTGAAATAGAGTATTATTTCCTGCAGCATTAATCGCTGGCATTGGTACCACATAATTTGTTACCGGTGGCATATTTCTGTATGGCTTCATTTCCTTAAAAGCACGGGAATTAATTAGGTGTTTGTGTTGGGAAGGGACTGGCAGGCACCGAGCATAATGTGGCAATCACCGGAGAGGCTGCACAGAGGCATTAAGGGTTTGTAAACCACGGTGTAAATGCCACAGCTCTCCTGCCCTGCGGGGATTGACCTGCTCTGAGGCAGATGTGGTTCTTTCAGCTGAGCACCTTCCCCTCCCATATATAAGTGCAGAACAAGAATTCACCTCGTCTAAGTAATATACAGCAACACTGAATCATCAGTATTTGCTTCTCAGCAAGCTGAGTAACTGAGTAACTTTTCCCAGAAGGAAGTCCATCAGGCAGCATGCAGCCTTGTCCTGTAACGGGTCCTTGGGGCAGGTGAATCACAGCACTTCATCTGACACTGTACTTGCATTTCACCTCCTTATCTTCTACCCTGAGGAACTCCAATTGGGAAAACCCCCATCCCTGGTCAGGGCAAACAGCCCCAGAGAAGAGCTGCCAAGTGGAGAATCTGCTGCTGGGGAGAAGTGTCACCTCCATGCTCAGAGCCGGGGTGATGGAGCAGCCAGAGGCACAGCCCACACTACCCGCTCCATGGCAGACTAGTGTGTCTGCAGCCATTCCCGGGAAGGGCAGAGATGGGAGAGGGCTTAAGGCCAGCAGGTAGAGAGGGGTGATTCTGCCGCTCTATCCCACTCTGGTTAGACCCCACCTGCAGAGCTGCCTCCAGTTCTTGGGCTTCCAATATAACAACGACATGGAGCTGAAGGAGTGAGTCCAGAGGAGGCCACAGAGATGCTCCAAGGGCTGGAGCCCCTCTGCTCTGGAGCCAGGCTGGGAGAGCTGGGGGTGTTCACCAGGAGAAGGGAAGACCCCAGGGGGACCTGAGAACCCCTTCCAGTGCCTGAAGGGGCTCCAGAAGAGCTGGAGAGGGACTGGGGACAAGTGCCCAGAACAAGGGGGAATGGCTTCCCACTGCCAGAGGGCAGGGTTAGGTGAGATATTGGGAAGGAATTCTTCCTTGTGAGGGTGGTGAGATCCAGGCCTCCTCTGACCAAGCATTAAAATGGGTTGCCCTAAGAAAAACTTTCCATGTTTTACAGGGATTCAGAATTGACTCTAAACTGATCTATTTTATACACATGCATTATAGATTTGTATAACCGTGACCTTTTGAGAGCCATTCTGTGCACTTGTTGAGCATTACATATAAACTGAGTATGAAATATTTCAACCAACAGCTTCCAGGTGATGCGAGGGTAAAACTCAGGGCTGGGGAAAGGAGAGGAGAGGTGGGCTCATAACATCAAGTACTGAAGAGAAATGTGCCTCTAACCTCAGCTCTGAAGAAGGTTCACGAGATGTTTCACCCTCAGACCTCAGTGCTTGCTCTTCAAGACTCAGGCAGGAGCTCAGGTGACCTCTTTAAGGTGTGCTGAGACCCCTGAGGGCAAAAATGAGAAGTGCAACAGTGACTTTAGCTGCCAAAATCCTAAAAAATTAAATGCTTTGGGGGCTGATCAGGAAACATCAGAAATGCTACAAGAATTAGGAAAAAAAATCTCCAGTTTGATGCTTTCTTATGGGCCTTGTATAAGAGACATTTCCTACAGATAACTTGGTAACTCCATCATCAAACTTCCACTAAAGCAGGGCAGGAGCAGCTCAAGTCTCTGGGTCAGAGCTGGTAACTGTGGCAGTGAATGTCCCACAGCAGCCCTTGCAGTATTAACATTTAAAAAATCACGAGACCTCAAATATCCCGACGCTAAGTCTCATGACCTTTAAGTCAACTAGATTCAGGTTTCTTTTTCTTTGACTCTCGCTATGCTTTTGGGATGGAAATAAAAGACCTTGTTAGGTTTAGGGAACATTGCAGGGAGCCTCCACCAGCCTTTTCTTCCCACATTTACACTTTTGGTCCCCTAAGCTCAGGTATCGTAAGTTCTGATTTATTTTTAAGCAGTTCTTTCAATGTTGGCTCGTTTTGATAATCCTTGCTTTTAGGGCAGTTCTTGAAAGATTTTTAAGCTTGGTGGAAATGAGTCTCCCTTCAAGGCTCACTCACTCTGAACCAGCATTAAATTGACTCTCACAGAAAATCACTTCCCAAATAAGGAGAGGCCTCATGCATTTTACAGGCTACAAGGAAAGCGAGGGCTAAGAGTCAAAGACAGAATATTAGAATATTAGAAAATGCCCCAATCCACATGCTGTGCCATGTCCCTGGGCACACAATACCCCAAGAGTCCTCATTCAACCCTCTTGCCACCATTCTTCTTTTGATAACACGCTCCCCTGAAAAACCAAACCCCAGCTCAGAGAAAGCTGAGCTTTGGGCTGTGTTTGTTTGATTGGCTCAAATCAAAATGTGGAGTCAGGTGTTTGTTGGCTGCTCTGTAGCACTGAGAAAAGCCCTTTCCTGCTTTTCTTCTGCATTCCCAAGGTGCATATTTTAGGTAAAAGTCCTATTTCTGACCAGGGCACTCACTGCTGCTCCCAAAAGGAAGAAGGCAGGGCTGCTCTCCCCTACCCTTCTCACCATCCCAGTGTGCCTCGTAGCTCCTTGCCCTTGGCTTTGCACAAGCCAGCAGGGACCCCTGACATCTTTTTTCCGGACAGCAAATGGGCATAGAAACCCCCCAGATCCTGCTGCCCACATTCAGGGACCCCAAGTCACCCCTTGGTGCCTTCCAGCGCCTCGGCTGCTCCCTTCAGCCCCGAGGCTGGACGGGGCCGCAGGCACAGGGACGCTAGTCCGGCACAGCCTGGGGACACCCAGCCACTTCTGCCGGCGGCTGTGTTTGTACGTACAGATAAATATACACGGGGCAGAGCCGAAAAGACAGAGTCAGCTCCTCTCGGGGCCCAGCGGCTCCTGTTACCGGCGACTCCTGCGCCCAGCGCACGCACGCTCCTTATAGCAGCCGTCGGGCTGGCACAGAGCGCAGCAGATGGTCAGGGCAGCTTGGCCTGGGGCCACCGTCAGCCCCGGGCTCCTCACCTCACGGGATGTGCTCACCGAGGCCACCCGGGGCCTCCTGCACACCCGCGGGCTGGGCAGGGCACTGGCACCGGGGGGAGAGCCGGAGCAGTTGCTGGCATGGCAGGGGTTAACACTAAACGATCCCAAAAATCGCAGGGTCCCCACGCCAGCATCACCATCTGCTACTGAGGGTCCTGCTCTTGCATGAGCAAAAGCCTGGGATAGCTGCAGGCAGAATTTGGCAGGTAGAGACACTCTGGGCAATGCTGAATGGCAGAGGGATCACAGTGCCTCAGGGAAACCTCAAAAGCCACAGTCACCAGTAACGACCTGCCTTTGGTGGCCGTTGTTGATGCAGCTCTGGCTGCCCAGAGTCCCAGGAAGGATCTGGTGCCCCGTTTGCCCCTAGGAGAAGAGCACAAGGGGCAGAAGGAGCTGCAGGAGGAGCAGGGGAGGGGTGGCAATGGCAGGGGCGGGAAGCAGGTCTTGTGCACGGCCACCACCCCATGGGCTGGGGACACACGCAGGGAGCCAGGGCTTGTAGCTGGGCTGCAGGGAGAGGGACCACGTATAGGGATTGGCCATGGGTATCACTTGGTGTTTTCTGCCCCCCAAATTACGTGTTTTGCACCATCACCAATCAAATGGGGTTTTCTAAACAAGAGCAATAGCTTCTCTGGGCAATCACAGGAGAGCACCCGTGGCAGGGGCACAGTGGGGGCTCTGTGGTGCATTCGAACAGGAGTTCCTGCAGCACTAACACAGCTGTGGGCACGTGAGAGCCCAACAGCTCTGCTCCAAACTGTGCTCCGAGGAGCCCCAGGCAGTGAGCACGGCCATAAAGAGCAGAGACAGCAGCGCTCCAACTTCCTGGCACTCGGGGAATCTTCCTGGATCACGTTATGTTCATGTGTCCTTGGCTCATCTCTGTACAGTTGAAAAACACTGTAAGGGGAGTCAGTTAATTGGGACAGCAGGGCTCAAGGAGCAAAACCCAGAGAACCAGCTCCTGCTTAATTGGAGTCCTGCTGGTTTATCCGAAGCAGCCTGTTTGCACAGCCCTGCTTTCTCAGGTGCTCTCCGGCTGCTGGTCAGGGTCGGTTGCCCACCAGCACTCCGTGGTGCTCCCAGGCTGCTCTGCAACATGTCCTGAGGAGTGGCCAGTTCCCACTGTTGGTGGGATGGTTGTGGAGTCCTCATCCCTGGAGGTGTTCAAGAAACAACTGGACATGTTGCTTGGTGACCTGGTCTAGTTGACAAGGCAGTGTTCAGTCAAAGGTTGGACTTGATGATCTCAGAGGTCTTTTCCAACCTAAATGATTCTATAATTCTGTGATTTTGGTACCAAATGAACCAGAAGGAAGGCATTAAGGGTGATGACTGGGTGTTGCCCCCACACTGGCATGGACGAGGACAGTGGGGTAGCTGCAGTGACGCTCAGCATTCACTCTGCTGGTGCTGCATGTCACAACTTGCCCTGCATTAGCACGATAGGCTCCTGGCCCTGGGGGGATGTTCCCAGGCACTGCTACGGTACAAATAAATAACAACAATAATCCTCAGCGGGTGGGGAGCCCTGTCATCTGACCCAGTGCTGATGGAAAGAGCAAAGAGCCTGTGTTTGCCCCCAGCAATGTGAATCCACTGGCATCTGGTCGCGGAGCGGGAAGGGCTGACGGTCGTTTTGGAGGGAATGGCCATGGCAGTGGATCCATAGTGACAGAGCTGCGCTGGCACCAGCACCCACACAGCTCCAGACTTTACTGGTGCAAACCCATCCCAGGCAGACAAGCTCCAAACACCAAGTGCACCACACACAGCCCTCACACCTAACGCCCAGGAGACCTTCTCTTACCTTTTTATAAGGAATACTTCTAGAGTGATGAAGATGCTTTGCCTCTTCAGTGTTTTCCCGCTCTGAAAGGGGACCAGTCCTCACTTCCTTGGCTCTGCAGGGGTGCTCACAGGGGTCAGGTCTTTTTTCTTGAGTAATTCTAAAGCAGAAAGGGATAACAGATCAGGAGGGCAAGACACACCCTCAGCCCAAAGGCATTGGCTCTGAAGGCAGCCCTGAGCCACACGTAGGGAGGAGGCAGGAAAAGGGCCAAATGGGTCACTGGTGGATGTCCCCGTAGCACCCTTCAGCTAAACCAGGTGAAAGAAGCAAAACACAGATTTTAGAGAGAACTGCTCTCTTCCGGTGGGCAGCTCCAGGCCTGGGAACTGACAGTGCTGTTTTCCTTGCAGGCTCTGCCCGTGCTGTGGAAGCAAAGATGACGACAAAGATGATGACCCCAGTAAGTCAGTTGTGTGACCAGAACTAGAGTAGGTGACACTGGTACTTAAAAATGCAACCTCAAGTACAGCAAGCTGGGGCTTGTGAAGGACTCTGCCTTTCCCCTCCTGCTTTTCCACTTCTGGGGAATCTTGGGGAAAAATAAAAGAGCTTCCTCTGATCCTACCACACAAGAGGGATAAACTCCAAGTGGTGTTGTATCAGGGTGCAATACATAGATTACCACTCTCACCATTCCAGTTCCCCAGTTTCCAGGGAACTAATAAATTTCCATACAATCACAGAAGGCTTTGGGTTGCCATGAACAGCAACACCCTATGTGAGACCAGGTTGCTCCAAGCCCCATCCCACTAAGCCTTGAACACTTTCAGGGATGGGGCATTGACCTCACTGGGCAACCTGAGCCACGAAGTTATAAAATATTTCTGGAAAAAAATATAAAAACAAAGACTATTCTTATTAGCAGTGAGGTGGCTGATACTCCTTCCCACCCAGTTCAGTTGCACCAAATCCAAACAGGTCTATCCCTGTCTTTAATCACAATATGTGAGCTTGGCTGGATGAGCAGGGAAGTGGGGTGGATGGTACCTCCAGTTCATCTCCCAAAGAACAAAATGCCAAGGTCTGCTGAGCACTGTGGCAAACCTGGGACTCTCTGGGCAATCTGAAGGAACTGGCAGGAGAAAGAGGCAAAGCAGACCATCATTCCTTGGGTAACGGCCCATGCACACTCCTGCCCTAAGGCTCAGCCCATCACATTTCCAAGAGGAAAGCTGAGGGAGCAGCACTGTCCTTGCAGCTGCCTCAATGACAGGAATAAAGTGCTGCAGAGCTAAGGGGGACAATGGGACAACGATAATGAAAATACAGGAGTGAAAATTCATTACTGGAGTCTGCTCGGGAGCATCCTGAGGGATCCCCTAAGGTTTTCTGGGCTGTTTTAACCCTTTGGGCCTGGTTCTGGTACTCAGGCTGATGTGCTGGGCTGCTGACTGTGCTTCTCTTTTTTTTTCCATTTCTCTGTGAAAACAATGATCTCCTTCTCCAAACAAAGCACTGTGCATCTCGGAGACCCACAGGGCCCTTTGGTCCCAGCTTCCTGGGACTGTGCACACAGACCAAAAAGCATAATGGTTGATTTTTAGTCAGCTTCTCAAGGAAAGAGTCTAACAACATTTTCTCCTATTTCCAACAGCTCACGTGCAGGTGGGAGCAGGGAAAAGGCAAGACACAGTGACCAGACAACACACAGTGACCACACAAGACAACCAGCCCAATTCCACAGGTGAGTTTATTACCTCCCGAGGGGAGGAATCTTCCCTGACTGTTTTTTGGCCTCCTGGAGAAGAAGGGATCTATTTCAGCACTGTTAACATTGCTTAGGTCTTAATGCTGATAATGTTTGCATCCTGTCAGGACTCTGAAAAGTTAGAGATGCCCATCAGGCATCTCCATGGCAACCCTGGGATGCTCATCCCAGCCAGGTGCAGTGTCCATGTCGGAGTGACAGGCTGTCAGGGTCATCTCCCACTGTCCTTTGGAAGGGCAATGGGAACTGAGAGGGTGTCTGGCTCCTCTCAAAGCACTCCCAGGCTGCTGGGGGAGCAGCACACCAAGCGCCTGGGGGCTTCAACCTGGGGAACCGGCCAAGTGGCTCTTCCCAGCTGGTGGCAAAATACCACCAGAATAGGTACTTTTGGCAAGGTTTTTTGGAAGGTACTGGTACCTGGCAAAGGTTTTTTTTGTGGGTTTGGTTGATGTAGAAATGATTTGGTGTTTTGGGCTTCTCCCACTGCCAGAAGGTGCAGCCTTTGCTCCCGACACAGCACCAAATATGGGTAGACCTTCTCAAAGTCAAGAGACAGTTACCTCTCAGCTTCTCCAAGTCATGGGCAGACTTGCTTCCATTGCCAATATTGTGTCCTCAGCTCATCCAATAGCTCAGGTGTCCAGGACCACCATCCAGCTCCTTCCACAGCATCCTGGTACCTTGGGTTAGGAAGAGATAACCCCAGTGAGAACTGTTGCACAACCTTGCCTCCAAATGACCATTCCAGTCCTTTAGCTCTGGCTGCAGGTAAACACAACCAGGGAGCATGTCCACCTGCAGGCAAAGTTCCCAAGGAACAACAGCTCTGCTGTTGTGGCATCTCAGGAAGGAAGGTTTGGAGGTTCAGTCTCTCCAGAAAGGTTGATTCCTATCACGTCCACTTTCCTTCAAACACCACAACTCACACTGAGCTCCAGGTATTTGCTCCAAACTTGCTTCCCATTTACCTTTGTCATTGTATCAGAGAATACCAAGTTGGCTGGGCAGAGGAGATAATGCTTTGTCTATTGGGTCACCAAGAAGGGCTTTGCTCATCCCTGCAGCAGAGAGATGTTGATAAAATGCAAAAAAAATAGCACTTTCTGCATCTCCCAGGAAGTGCCATGCTGCTTGTTTAATTAGAGGGGGCAAGGCTCCCTCCTGAGTAAACCAGAAATAGCCTTCCAGGGAAAAAATAAACCTGCCTGGGTATTCTGGGGGACTCTCAGAAAAAATAGCTCTACAATCTCCCCCAGTCTTGCACAGCACAAGAGCCAAAATTTCAGAGGAGGGGTATGTGGAGAAAGCCAGTCTGCTCTGGGGGAGAGACCCCCTTCATATTTAATACTGGTGTAAGCAGTTAGAGCATATTTTGCACTCCCCCCTCATTCCTTCACCTGTGTCTCCTCACACATTTATAACCGTGCTGCCCATCTCAGATGCATTTGGTGTCGTACATCACCCACATGTCCCAGGGCAGTTTTATGGTAAGTGGTTGATCATAAAGCACATCGCCCAAGGGCATAGCTAATGGATAATTTGGGTTACCAGGACACCTTGGCAAATGATCCCTAAATCCTCTGCAGGGTCACACTGGCCCCCACTGCCTTCAAAGGATGAGTTATTTGAAGACTACCCACGAATTGATGTCTAATGACCGTGTGTAGCCCAGCCAGGATCCTCATCCAGCAAGGCCAGCAGCAAACCCCAAGCCAAGCAGCAGGGCTGAAGGTCAACCAGACAGACAAGGCAGGATAGCTCTGGAGAGCCTGGCAGCCTTTGGTGGCCAATGTCCTGTCAGCAGCCCCCTCCCTCCAGCAGCCCAAGTGCTGGGACAGAGGCACCCTGCCCAGCAGAGCCCCATCCAGCTGCCAGGGAAGGAGGAGCTCCCTGTCAGTGTGACCCGAGGTGGCTGAGGACACACTGAGCCACTCCTGCATGTCTCTGCCATGGGGCATCCACGTTGGTCTTTTCTGTTTTTAAGAAACCTTAGCAAAACATCTGCTGAATCTCCAGCTGCTGAAGGCTTGTTCTTTAGGAACAAAGAACAGCAGCCGCCACGGTAATGTCACTTGTCACTGAAAAAAAGCGAAAGTAGGAGGAATCAGCAGAAATGTTTGCAGTGCTCTCTCTGAGCGCACTCTCCCTGAGCCACACTCCACTCCTCTCCCTGCTCCATACTCACACAGCTGCTCCCAGCACCTCTGTGCAGGTAGGGTGTCCCCAGGCTCCCCCATGGAAGGAGAGCTGTGCTGTATCACAGTCAGGCTTGACTTTTATCCCCAGCAGTCACACCTGGGATGCTGTACCTCCTGCCAGAGGCTTCCCACCTGGGGACAGGTATTTCCCCACAGGACGTGGAACTCACCTTCAAAGCCAAGTCTCTTCCTGGGGGTTATGCCATTCAATTTGGTTTTGTGCCGGCCCTCATTGTCTCTCTGTCATCTGAACACATCCTTGACCTCTTCAGCAGGGCTATCCCGGCCATCAGTTAGCTTCCCAGTTGTGTGGATACCAGGAAACTGGATACATGGGCTTATAGTTCAGTGGAAAGTTCTGCTGCTGTCTTAAATCATAAAGCACAGCTGCTGACACAGCAGAACTGCCGAGTGAATGGCCTGAGCAGTCTGGGGATGGAAAACGCCAAGATGAGAATAAGGGCAGCATCTTGCAGCTCTGCTGGAGAGAGAAAGAAAGGGCAAGGGAGGCCAAGAGAGCAGATTAAAACTCGCCAGAGTGCAATTGTAATGTGCTATCCACCACGGATGCATCCCGGCATTCCGAAGTTAACTTGCAAGGGGGAGAGGAAATGGGAGCTGAGATTCGATGTCTGCAAATGCAAAGTAATGTCTGGAAAAAAACAAAACAGCCCCCAGACTACATATATATCCACACGTGATAATGAGCTCTGAATGAGCAGTTCTGAGGAGGAGACACATCTTGGGGGTCTGGGTGGGCAGTGCTGGGAAAATACCCACCTCCTGGATGGTGAACAAAGCCAGGCTAATGCTGGGATGGCACTTGGACAGGAAGGGTGCAGAGAACAGGACAGGAGGCATCAGCACACCTGCACGTGCAGTGGCACGACCATCTCTGGACAAGGGCTCAGAGGAGGAGGAGCAGCAACAGGGAACAGCCCCTGCATGAAGGTTCTCCAGCTTGGAGGTGACACTGCTAACTCCTTCATGGACAGCACGGTTGGGAGAAACAGGGATGCTCTTCGTCACAACCCAAGAAGCCGCAAGCGCCAAATGAAAGGCAAAAGTTTCTAAGCAATGAGTAATGATGATCCAAAAGGGTCATCAAGGATGTTAGTTCCAAAGTACATTAAGAGGGTTTCATCTTAACCTGACTTTGGTGTTGCCTCCAATGGAGTTACATGCTCGGGTTTCTTCTCCAGGCAGTGGGAAGACCCCACAGCACAGGGATATAACCATCCCCCCTGAGGTGGAACCCTAGAGCAGATCAGGAGAACATGCACCAAGGAGAAAGGCAGCCCTAGCACTTTTTCCAATGCTGCTATCTACAACAGCCTTGCAAAAGCGCTTGGACACCCTCAACCTCAGCCCTGGCAGGACTAAGGTGTCCAGCAGCCCCTCTTTGACACAGTGGAGGCAGGATATCTTCCCATCACACCTTCTGCAACCCGGAGCCTTTACGGACTGTTGCGAACCTGCACAAGTTAAAACCCTTTCCCAGCAACACAGCCTGCAATTTCCCTTTCCACCCAATGGGATTCAAATAACCTAATTCTTGCTCTACATTTGTACTGTCTCTCTCTCCCACCCCATCACCCCTGGAGAAATGCCAGCCATGTGGTAAATACATGTAATCATGGCACTGTGATAGCAGCTCTTGTTATCCAGCTATTAATTCACCTCCCTGGGATTTAGGTGAATATTTGAAATCCTGCAGGAAGTCCAACGAGCTGCCTTTATTTGAAAATCAACATGGCATTTCTACTTTTCCCTCTCAAAATGCAAATATTTTACCTTCAAAAATGTCCTGGCCCGCAAAAAGATGTCATTGCTTTACCTCAGGCCAGCAAGGAGGTTCCTGTGCATGCAAAATTCATGGCCATGGAAACTTTTTGGAGCAGGAGGACTCCCTGATGTAGGGGAGGTATCAGCACCCATGTCAAGCACACTCTGTGTCTTCCTCATGGCATGCACAGAAAAGCACCATCAGAAATATTCCCTTTCCTCTCTCAAGTTAAAAACAGAGGATAAAAGGGAAGAAAAGAAAATGCAAAAGAGCCTTCAAAAACCAACCACCTTCTCCCCAAGGACTGGCATTTCTAGGAAGGCAGAAGCTCCTTTCAGATGCTTTCAGTGTGCTGGAAACACATTGTGGTTGGATGCAGGTGAGGCTGGCACAGGAAGGCAACAGAGCTCAGCCCACAGGCACCCAGCTCACCAGGAAGAGAGATAAAATGAGTCTCTACCAAATTTTACAGCCTGGCAGGAAGGAAAATGCCAGCAGCCCCCAGAGCAGTGACCACCACCACGTGCTCAGCTGTGGAGGCTCCAGCTCAGAGCTGCCAGGGAAGGAACACATCAGCTCAACATCAGCTGACGCCATCAGAGCGTCCACACTGAGTTCGGCTCAGGTCCCAGCGTGTTCAGGGCTGCACCCCTGAAAATCTGCTTTTACCAACATCCCTAGACAGACTTTTTTCCTTCATGTTGTCACTGAGCCACCACCTCTCTGGAGCTGGAGAGGAATGAGGGCAAGAGCAGATCTGGAGGAGCAGCAAGGCCAGGACACACAGGGAAATCCCTGTGGATGGGAGGCAGGAGCAGAGCGAAGAGGGTTGGAGCAGAATTTGGTGCAGGACCCAGGTGAGATCAGAGTTAGGATTCAGCCATGCCAACGAGTAGTTCAGGAGATCAGACTGACCTGCCTGGGCTATGAGGGAGAAAGGACAACAGGGTTGAGGGCTGCACCCCAAATGAGTGGCTGGGGAGGAAAGGGTGCTCCATGCTGGGCAGGAACAGGCATGAGCTGCAGGGCTCAGTGACAGGTGAGAGGGGAGTGCTAAAGGCCAACAGGCAGATGGCAAAACTGTGATTAGAAAGTCACTCCAGCCATAAATCTTGGAGACCTGGAGACGGGCAAGCCCCAGATGGCTTGGAAAGTCTGCCTGGTGGAGCCCAGCACAGCTCGGCATGCATCTGGCCCTCCTTCTCACCAGGTTTTAATCACCTCCAGTCAGCTCCTCATGGTCAGAGCTGAACTAGGAACCCCTGAACCTGACACCACTCCAATGACCAAACTAAAAAGCAAACCCACTTCCTAGAGTAACAACAATATTATCATCCATCCTGACAGGGAACTCTTGCAGCATTATTGGGGGTTACACGCACATCCCACTCCCAGCACTCCCCTCCTGGCAAGGATGTTGTGGCACTATCCAGTGGGGCACAGAGGGTGCAGGATGGCGCAAAGATGCACCAGCAGAGCTAGGTGGAGGAAGGCTCCCCGTGGCCACACATGCTATTTCTGGATATGCTGAGGAGCTGCTCGGGGTTGGATTTACAGGCGAGCACGGGGGCGTATCAGCTGTCCCTGCTTTGGAAGGGGCTCAGGAACAGCACAGGGGCAGGAGACTGGGAGGGAACAGGATTTATATAGAGATCCACGGGGAAAACCCGTGTCTCCAAACATAGTAACCTAACAACAGGTAGTAGTACGAGCTCCTGCCTGTGGATCCAGCACAACAACTTTCCCCACCCGCAGCCAGAAGAGCCTACTGTTCTCTCACTGCTGCCTGAAAAGCAACATCCACAAAAAGACACCCCGCCCATGCCAAGCTCCCGAAACCCCTCTCTGCCACTGGGTGCCTCCTGCAGCCCTTCCCAAAGCTGCCAGAGAGGCCTTCAGCCCACAGGTGCTGTCGCTCCCCCGGGACCCCTGGTCAAGCCAGCAGGAGGTTGGCAGCACGGCCGGGACAGGGGCCAAGGGTAAAATTAGAAAGCCTGTCCCTGCCAGCTCCTGCTTCGACCTGCAGGGACCAGCTGAGCCCAGTTGCTAACCTGCACTGTAACCCTTCATGTCCCCTCTCCTGGAGGCTGGGACAGTTACTAGAAAGCCAGGGATTTGCAGGGCTTTCCTTTTTGATCAGCCGTCTCCAGCTACCCCAGAGAGCCAGGCTCAAGGGCTGATGAGGCAGAGGGAGCTGGGTTTTTTGGATCCTTTGGGACAGTTAGGATTACATCCTGCAATTCCTGTCACTACTGTCCCTTTTCACACCGGCCAGCCCTGCAAAGACTGATCCTCCCTGCTGTAAAGGCTCGTGCCTGCACTCCATCCAGCCCCTTGGCCCCACCGCTGCCCTCCTGCCGCAGTTATTGTTATTATTTACGCTCCTAAGCATCCTTTGAGTTCTGCCTGGGGACAAGATCCAAAGAGAAAGCCTTTTAAGGATTTGTGCCAGCGCCGGGAAGCGAATCCCCCCCAGCGAACAGCGGTGCTGGGGGATTTGAGTGTAGACAAGTGCTTAAAGCCGAAAAGGGCAGCGAGGGGAGGGAGCCGGGGGCACGCTCTGAAACCAGACCCCCCCGCCCAAAACGCAGCTCCTTCCTCTGCTTTAGGAAACGGATCCCTCCTGCGATTTCCTTTCAAAGGTGACTTGTAACCTCTTCATTAGGGTCGGCTTTGGCAGAGCCCTGATGGTGCAGCTGGCAGGGCCGGGGCTGCGGCTGGGCGGGAGCGCGCTCGCCTTTTCAAGGCTGGGAAGCAAAGCCGGCCGCTCGCTGCAGCGGCATCTCGGCGGGAGACCCCGGCCTTGCACTGATGGGTACCATGGACTTTAAGACAGACCCCAGTGCAGTAACCATCAATCTGCTGCTCATTGTCCGCCCCGAGGAGGCAGCGAGCAAGGAGAAGGGGCAGCGAGAGGGGCACAAAGGAGGCAGCCGAGGCGCAGGTAACGACCCACCTGCGGCGGGGTGAGGAGGGTGCAGATGGCAAAGAGAAGCAGCAGCTTTGCAGCAGGGTTTGCGCTTTCCCCCCACACTCTTTCTGCTCTTTGCAGACATGCTGCAAACCCCCAAACGTCCCGGGGTTTTGGCAGCAGCCCGACGTGCCCGTGCTGGTGCTGCCGCAGAGCCTGCCCCGTGCAGTGCCCGGTGTGCTCGGGCCGGCTCCGGGGCGTGCAGCCCAGGGCGCAGGAGGAGCAGGGGACACGCACAGGCACTAATCCGAGGACCATGTTTGCACCTTACTGTGCACTGCAGCGGCCCCCAGGTGCCTCCACGGGCTCTCCCGGCTGCGTAAGGGGAGCAGGGAGAGGGCTCGGCCTTTTCACCCCACACGGCACCTACTGCACTGGAGTACAGGGTGAAACTGTTCTGTTTGCAGTGTGCCCGGGCTTTGTCTCGATCACTGTCCTGAGCCATTTATAGCTACAGTTTCAGACATCAGTCCTGGCCCAGCTCCTATCCTGCAGCGGGTCTCCCAAAAAGCTACGGCTCTGCTCTGCAACTGTAAGGGGACCCTCCCTGCAGAAATAAAGGGAGGAGAAGGAATATTCCTGCTCTAAAGCCTTGGGGAGAAGCTGGATTTTCAGGCAACCAGTCCCAGGCTAACAAGGCAAAGCTATCACAAAAGTTGTGTTCATATTTCATCTAACACAGCACCCAGTACCTGCATATCAAAGTGACTTAGACCTGGACTATTGCACTTTCTGCCTCTCAGTATTTAGCAACAAGAACTGCAGCCAATGCAGCAGATACGACAGGGAAGGTGGATCCTGATGATACCTGAGTTCAGCTGGGTTGATGGGTTACATAAGAGGGTTTGAGGTGCTTGGCTCCAGAGAGTGCCAGCACCTCACTCCAGGAGGACACCCTGCCAATCTCCGGTTTATATTTTACAGGTTTGGAGGATTATGGCAATGGAAACAGCAACTCACAGCCACCTCAGAGGACAGACCTTAAGGGTATGTGAATGTCCCTCTCTACTGAAAAACTGACCCCAGCACACACAACCCAAAGCTCTCAGCATCCAGCTTTGCCTTTGGAGTTCAACCAACCCATCCCTTTCCAGTGCTTCAGGGGGCTTTGATGGAGGCACACAGAGGACCACGTGCCGTGGGAAGTGCCCCCTGCATGCTCTCCTCTGCCCCATGGGCAGGACGGACGTTGGTGGCACTGCCAAGCCCCCGCACATCCATCTGCAGGGGATTCTCCTGCCATGGAGCTCTTACGTTTCACAGCCAGCTGACAGTAGGGGAAATTCAGTGCCCCAAATCACTCAGGTTGCAGACAGCTTCCAGAGACTTCCCCAGCACTCACACAGCTTAGGCAGGGTCTGGGATGTAGAAGGGGAGGAACCTTTGGGTTCTCAGCCATCTATCCACCAGATCTTTCTTCATCTCTCTCACTCAGAGAATGAGCACAAGGCAGGTGTGATTCCTACCCAGGAACAACATGACTGCTAGTCCTGAATGTTCCCCTGCCAATTCCCAATCCCCTGCCCTGAAGCAGTTCAGGAGGAACATGACCCCAGGACTGTAGTGCAAGGGGACAGAGCAGTTCCCAGGGAAGGGGTCAGACCATCCCACCTGCTTTCTTGGTAGTCTAAGCCTAACGTGGTGTTTAGCAGAGAAAGCTGTGGGCAATGGTAGAGCAAGACACTTAATTCTCATGGTACCAGACAGTAGATTTTAGCTACACCAAGGAGGAGCTTTGCTTCCACAGGCCAAAGCAGCATGCAAAAGCCCCAGCTGCTCAGCAGGAGCCCTGATCCAAGTCCCCCTGAAATCAGTGGTGGCTGGAGGATGCTCACAGTCTGGTAACAAGCAATATTTCATGGCAAGGCAGTACTTTGAGGGTTTTTACAAAACAGGTAACAAAAGCCTCCACTCTGGGAAGCAGATAAATATTCTGCACTGTCTCCTTCCATCATGCTCAAGAGGGTCTGCAACCAGAGCTGCAGAGCAGAGTCAGAGCCTCCTATATGAGAGGATGGTATTTATTGATCATTTCCCACCCTGAATTAATGGCAGGAGTATTTAGTATGCACATGGGAATCCTTCCCTCGCAACTCCACCTTAGGTACTCTTCAAGGATTGCTGAGGAATTCAGACACCACAGGAGCTCTGGCTCCTCTGGCACCACAGGGGTTAATGAATTCCCCTTCAATCAGCCACATTAGTGTCCTGATGAAGCCTCTGATACCCCTGGAGCTGCCACAGTACTTTCAAACATATAATCCCCAACCCACTGAGGCAAAGGGGCTGTGGCCCCACTCCACAAAATCACATCCCTCTGGGGCTGTCCCTTGTCACAGCCACACAGCACGAAAGGTACCTGGACAAGCTGTGAAATCCAGGTTCCTCGTGCTGGTCTCTGCTGGTTGGTGGGATGCTGATCCCACAACACTTTGGAAAAGAGCGAGGGATCACCCTGGCCAACATCCACCCTGACTCCGGCAAGGCTGGAGCACGGGAGCTGTGCGGGAGCGAGGGCTCAGTGTCACCTGGCATTTGCTGCCGTCAGCACAGCCCTGGGGAGCAGATCTGTGCTGCCCTAGGCACACCAGGTGATTCCCACACCTCCCTCTGCTCCAAGGATTCCTAGGCCAGCCAGCATTGCAGAGACAGCCAGGGGCTCCCAGAGGGGAGAGATCAGGATGAGACACTGAAAACCACACCAACACTTCACCTCCAAGCCCCCAGTGCTGCCCTTCCCTCCCACCTACCCCCTCTTCAAACTCCCATAGTCTGAGCTCCTGACCCCCACCCTGAGCAGCAGCAGCCTGGGCTGGCACATCCCTCTGGAGTGGGGTCAGGCACTCCTAGGCCATGAGCAATTGGGTTTTGAAGCTGGAGGACAGGGTTGAGTTTTGGGGGGTCATTACTTACTTTGCTGCTGAGCAAGGGCACAGATTTAATCCCCCTCCATGCCAGGCATCTGTGCTCTCCCTGAGGCACTGAGATGTTTCCCTTTGTGCATCCAGGCTGGCGTGTCTCCAGGGAGCCCTGGGAGCAGACAAAACCCATCACCTCGGTCTCTGACAAAGGTAAGTCATGACCCAAGAGACAGAGCAGACCCCCAGGGAGCTGCCAACAAGCTTTTTCTCTAATAAGATAACCTCAGAACACCCCAAAAGGGAGAAAAAAAACAACCTGGGCCAGCTGCACCCACAAAGCACTTGCTGGCCAAGGACTTGTCTGGCCACACAGCACAAGCAGAAAAACAAGTATTTCTTTAAGCAACCTGGTCTAGTGGCAAGTTCTCTGCTCACAGCAGGAGACTGGAACAAGAGGATCTTTAAGGTCCCTTCTGACCAAACCATCCCATGATTCTATAATTCTTTATGAGGATGTCTTCATCAGGAAGAGTAAAAAAATGAAGTCATAAAAGCATCAGTGACCATTTCATATCACTAGTTTTTAAAGCAAAGGATGTAGAACTTTGAAAAATTCCCATGGAATTACATTTCTCATTTGTTAAATGACTCTTAAACTCACTGGAAGAAGACATTCTTCAATGGCAAGTTTGTTTCTTGAAAACGAAGAATTTTAATATATTTTAATTCACTGGAAGTTGGTGAGAAAACCCACAAAAAACCAAAGCTATAAAATAATAATGAGAAATAGAAAAGGACCCCCTGAAAATATAAAAAACCTTAAGGAAATCAAACAATTCGCAGGATTAATCCCTTTGAGAAATAACTTCACTTATCTTTGAATTAACTGACAAAACACACCAGCCAGCTCTGATCTTGACACCCTGATACCTGCACCACCCTAGAACTGGAGTCAAGCTCTAGTGTTTAGGAGTTTTACAGCTTTTCTTACCTTCTGCTTTTGGAGCTTAGAGGACATCAAACCTCTCTGCATAATCCCAGGAGAAACTTCACTTTTCTAAAGTTAAATACTATGGAAAAACTTATTATTTGATGAAAGTGCAGATTCCCACCTAATTAGCCAGTTCCAAGAGCTGGCTTTCAAGGAAAACCCCAAATGTTATGAGACTCCTGATAACACTGTAGGCGGTATCACTGGATGGCAGCCCCGAGGTACATTAATACTTTGACCTTCAGTCTCCCAAGTAACCTCTGTCTGATCTGACACAGGAGCCCAGAAGAACATCATGCTCCTCCAGAGAACCTCAGGGGCTGCAGAACCTCCTGAAATACCTGCTCAAAAACGCAGTCTCTGTCAAAAAGTTGATGTAGTTCTTATAAGACACTCCCTAACTTTTTTCCTTGTATTTATCTCTCTGGAACTTTAAAGACCACACTCCAGTTTTCACAGGAGGTTGTTCTGGAGCACCATGGCACACCTGGACCTGGCTCTGCCAGGACACCGCCTCCTATAGGCAGTGGCCTTTGCCAGACATTTTAGTATCATAAGTCAAATTTTCATCTCTCCAAGCCTTTTTCTGTTTAATTCCACGAAAAATCAATGAAAGACATTGATTCTATGCTTTCCACTGCTCCATCAAGAGCTCTTTAATGTGGTGATAAACCTTTGCAATCACCAGAGCTGCTGCTTTGTCTGAAGTTAAGAGCTGCCTCAGCAGGCAACCCTGCCCTTCTCCTCCATATCCTGGTTAGTTTTCCATTTCTTAGGGAGTTTATCATCATTTCTTCCAGGAACCCAAGTGACAGTGGAGATTCATCCTGAGGATTCATCCTCCCGCAAACCCATCAGGATACACTCCTTGGAAAAAGGTACATTCCCTGGCTGTAAACCCCGGCAGAGGCTGAGAACATCCTTCCCTCCCTTTGCAGCAGCCTGGAGGGGACGCTGTGCCCCTGGAGCTGATCCCACTAACCGTGCCGGCTTGTTGCAGGTTCCCAGCGGCTTCCTAGCCTGAGAGGACACGACAACAAAGGTGAGGCTCTGCTCTACCATAGCACGACTCCAAGCTATCCCTCACCCGGGAAGCTGCTCCCAGGAGAACACGGGCTCCTCCTGCCCATCGGGAGGCTCCTGAGAGGACGCCAACCCCTTTCTCCCTGACAGGCAGATGCTGCCTGCTCCTGCCCATGCCTGGGGCTTGAGGAGCAAAATCTTCCTGCTCCTGGGGTGGGTGGGTCTCCCCCTCCTCCAGCCCTGGGACAAGGCAGGTGCCGACAGTCTGCGGGCCGTGGGGTCCCTCAGAAACTCTCCAGCTGCCGCAGAGCTCTGGGTGGGGTCACAACCTGACAGCTCTGGAGCTCAGCTCCCCGCCTCCACCCCTGGGGGGTTTAGCCGTGGAGGGCAGGGGTTTGTCCCCAGCCCTCGGGCTAGAACAGGAGATGCCTGAGTGCTGGGGAATGTGGCCTCGGTGGGATGGCAGGGAGAGGACCCGGAGCACGCTCGGCAGGGTGCTGACATCCATGTCGGAATGCAAGGGAATGGGCAAAGAAGGGTCTCAATTCCAGCTTTTTTCACCCAGTCCTACTCCCCAGAACCACCTATTTCTGCTTCTTTTTTCTCTCCTGCCAACAACTTCCCACCTCACGCTCCCTTCTCCACTTTGCAGGTTTCCAGGGAACCGAGGCCCCGCAGTCACCGGGACCAAAAGACCTGCATGGTAACTCTTTTACCACAAATGGCGTCCAGCTTCCCAACCCCCTGCTCGTCGGGATCGGTGATGGGAGTGGCTTTGGGAACATCACACCGTGCCCAAGAACTTCCCAAGATTCCACAGCCAGGGAAGGCTACTCAGCAAAGAGGCACAGCCCAGACTAACTGCATATCACTGCGGATCCTGCTCCTGCATGGAGCCTGTGCCTCTATAACCTGGCAAAGACAATCCTGACAATCAAATTTAAAAAAAAAAAAAAAAAAAAAAAAAAAAAAAAAAAAAAAAAAAAAAATCCCCTTCCCAAAAGACAAAACGTAATTTTCAGAACTGTATAGCGGGGGAACCTTTAAACGTGTAAATCTGTTTCCTCTCCCTTTGGGTCAGTGTAACAGCCCATTTTCAGGAAAAACACAGATAAACAAACAAGCCTTCGTCCCACCTGGCAGGCAGCACTGGAACTGGGATGTGGGATGTCCCCCAAACCCCTCCCTGGGGCAGAGGTTTCCCAGAAGAGCAGGGCTCACCTTAACAGCACACCTTTGCAAGTCAGGAATGGACCTTGTGGCCACCCCCACAGCGGTCTGGAGCCTGGGCCAGAGACCTGTTCTGGGCAGCTGGAAGGGGAGCAGGGGATGAATATAGATTCCAGAGGCACTGCTGGCCTCTCAAGTGGGACAGGAGGCTCTTGGAGCCTCTCGTGCATCCTGCTCCCAGCACTTGCTGAGCAGGCAGAGGGGGGTCCCACTTGCCTAAGCAGGGTCACAAATAAAGCAGGATATGACCAGCTATGCCCAACCCTAGCCCAAGGCAAGCCCCTGCTCCAGGCAAACAGCAGCTCCACTGCACTGTTCATTCACTTCTCACAGCACTCAGGAGTCACACAACAGTGTTTGCACCTCAGGATCTCTTAAATCCTTTTTTCCAGAGAAATAACAATCCTACAGAGAGAGCTAGAGGAATGTCTCAACCATGAATGGCTCTGACAGCTCAGGACAGGCTGTCACACTCAGTTCTCCTCTCACCAGCCAGCAGAGCAGGGAAGGCTGAGGTTCAGGCTCACTGATGGGAGACAGCACTGTCAGCTCATTCCAAGACTCTTAAAAAATCAGTTATCTCATTAATTAGGGCAAGTTATTAACCCTTTGTTCACATTGAGGAGAACGAGGAGCCTGGAGCCTGCAAAGACATAGACAGAGGGTGAGGGACAGTTGTTTCAGTCCAACTGCTCCCAATGTGACATTCCTCGTGGGCTGGAATTCCTGCAGAATCATGGCCCTTTACCATACAAAACTCCTGGGCAGATCCAGATCTTTAGTGTGTTTTTTAAGAAATGAAGTTTTTTCCAGGGCTTGCACAGCACAGATTTTCCTTGCTCCTTCTCCATTGTATCTCCTGCCCCTCCACACAATATCCTGGGATTTCCTATGCTGTTACACAGTGCCAAAGTCACAGAGGCAGCTCCCTCTTTGGCACTGCCCAAATTCTAGTAGACTAGACAGGATGGCTCCTGCTTTCCATGCAGCTGGCAGGGACCTCCTGCGGGTGCCCTCGTGTCCTCTGTTCCCTGAGCACCCGCTGATGGATTCCTCCCTGAGCTCTGTCCCCTTCTTCAACCATTTGGCCAGGAAAAACACACCCTCCCTTCCCAAAACAATGACAACTCGTTCTCTTCCCAGCATATCCATGGGACAAAGCCTCTTTTAAATCCCTGCCAGTAGATCTGCAGCAATTTCAGAAGCTGGATGCCTACGCATTAAAAGTAAGTCTTGCTTTTGCCTCTGTCCTCCTCCCAATTCCCCTCCAGGGATGCTCCATGAAACCTGGCTCCCAGAACTGACACCAGCTTAGGCTGAGCTATGGGGATGCACCCTCAAAATCTCCCAAACAAATTAAAAACCATTTCCCTGCAAACATTAGCAAAGAGATCCTGCTCTAGGAGGGAAATATAACCAAAAATACATGGACGTAGAATTGTAGTATCATTGTTAAGGGAAGGGGGGACAGAAGAGTCTCTGGCAGTTGGGGTCTCACTGGTTTCAGAAGAACAAGGGAGTGGGGAGGACAGGAGATCTGCCAAAGAGATTTCTTCCCCATGACCACGCAGTGCTTCCTCCTCACACAGGTGAACGTCAAGAGCAGCGTGGAGGACCTTGTCAAAGCCCTGCTCAAACAAGCCCGGACTGACCTGGAAAAGGTCCGAGCCATATGGATGTGGATATGCCACCACATAGGTAGGCTGAGATCTTCAATGGAAAACAAGGCTGTTGCTGGCAGTTTGTATCTGTGGGTTAGTTCCACGTGGTGGGTGGAAGGAAGGCTTTCTGGAGGTATTTACCCAGAAATGCATCCTGAGGTTTTCTCACCGTGCAATGTTATCTAGCCTGGAAGAGCACTTGCAATATAAATATAAAATATAAATCCATCCTTTCCTGGATGGATTTTCAGTGAGAGCACTGCTCCCTGGGCACCTCTTCCCACCCAACTCAATCCCACAGTGGGTTGCTATCCCCATGCAGCAGTAGCACTGACAATTATTTTAGCTGTCATTTCTGGCATAAATACAGAGCTTGGTGCAGCCAGCCAGCTCTGCACACCCCTCAAAGTGCTCCATGGCTTTTCTGGAGACCAGTGAACAGCCAGCCTTTCCCAGCGCCTCAGAGCCAACACTGGGGAGGCACCAACTGAGTCCCTCAGATAAAAGACAAGCAGTGGCAGCACTTCATCAGAGCATACACAGAGCCTGCTGCCAGTTTTCCTTCCCCTGCCCCAGCGCTGAGGGGAGGCTAAAGCAGCTGATGCAGCATTTCTGAGAGCTCTGTCAGAAAAATACATCCTATTTTAGGAAAGAGGTTGTGGACATGGCCAAGGTTGGTGGGCATTGAATTAACCTTCCCAGACCGGTTCCTCAAGCTCTGTCTGAGGGAGCCCTGCTGTGCTGCTTTTCTGCATTCATTCCAACAAATCAAGACTTCCTAAGCTTCCAGGTATTAATATGACCAGGCTGGACTGGGCTTGGTGCTACCCGGCCTAGTGGAAGGTGTCCCTGCCCACAGCAGGGGGTTGGAACGAGATGGGCTTTAAGGTCCCTTCCAACCCAAGCCACTCTCAGATTCTATGACTCAGTTGCAACAAATCACTTCAGGTATTTCCCAACAAGCTGCTTTCTAGGTATTTTTAAGACAAATTGCATGTAAAGAGGGCAAAAAGCTCAGTGTTTTCCTTTGAGGTAACACCAGTCTTATTCCTTCAAATGCGTAGTGCTCTGGTTTTTATTGGGAACTCTTGAAACTAGATCCTCCACACGAGGGCAACCCCTGAGGCTGCCCACCTTTCTCCCCACAAAAAAAAAAATAAAAATCAGAGTTTTCCTCCCATTTGGATTCAACTGCTGAACCCAGCCCAGGCTTAGAGCACAGGGTGATGAGGGCAGACCCCGTCCCTCTGCCCCCAGCACTGTCCACGCAGCACATGCCACGGCTCCCTTCTCTCCACTCGCACTCACGGAGACGAAAAGCAATCCGAGCACTGCTCCTGCTGCCCATCGATCCCACCGCCTCAGGCTGCTGGATGAACTTTTGCCTGTGATCCCTCCCGCAGAATACGACGTCGTGGGCTACCACAACAAAAGCCAGCGGTTGAACGAGGCCAAAGACGTGCTTCAGACGGGCAAGAGCGTTTGCGAGGGCTACGCCGGGCTCTTCGAGCAAATGTGCAGGTAAATTAACTTTAGAAACATCCAGTGCCAGGGAGAGTTTACATTCCCTGTCATCCACATGCCTATCCTGTCTGCCTTTGCGTTGACTGATGTGACTTTAAGCAGGACGTGGAGCTTCAGCTTTCAAGCTATGCTGTGGAAAAACAGCAAGTCCTAGAAAGGTCAATTTTACTCCCTCCTCCACTCCCTCCACTCCCCTCCCCAGCATAATTTACTTGGTGCCATCTGCTGAGCTTCGCATTGCATTAACATAATGGCAGATGAAAACGTGGAGCTAATTTTATTAGAAGAACTAGGATTTTCCTTGGAGTATCTGGATGTGAAGGTTAAAAGCAGAGCAAGACTTGAACAAGGAGCGATGTCTGCAACGTGCTCCCATGGAAGAGGCATGCACACCCCCAGAAGGAGCTTTCCCAAAACCCTCTGGAGATCTCTGTCCCCTCCAGAGGCACCAGAGGGACGCCCACGCTGTCTTCTGAGGCCAATGTCAAGGGGCATCACCATTGAGGGCAATACTGCACTTCCCATTTTATAGCTACATTGGCATTTAATGACTAAAATCCATTCTCCTGCCTGCAAAACCTCATGGACTTCACTGGGGATTATTCCCATAAATTTCCCTCACAACAGAACTTTACAATCACAAATCACACAAGAGGCAGCCCCTTCCTTGGCAGGGAGCACAGGGGCCTTGCAGATGGATGCAGCCCAAATCCCTTCTCCCTCCCATCTCTCCAATCCAGTAAGGAAAGGAGACGGTTGTTGCACAAGGCAACCCTCAAACGCCACAGCAAGGAGCAACATCTCCCCCAGCATCTCTCCTCTCCCAGGAGTTTGCCTTGGATGAGTAGTGAAAGCAGTGAAGGTGCCTGGTGAGCTTGGGGACCAGCCTTATGCAGAAATGTTGTCCAAGAGAAAACTGGACCTGATGACTCAGGGACATGAGATTGGAAGGGACTTCCTACAGCAATCCTAAGAGGGTAGGCTTGCGAGGTGGCTGTGCCAGGGAGCACCTTCCATGTACAAGATGGCCTTGGAAAAATCAAAGACCAGTTATTAATCACATGTTTAAGTAACAATTGACTTTCCACACCAACCCAAAAGTTTTGGGGTTTTCACCACAAAACCTACAGGGAAAAGAGAGGTTTAAAGAAAACCAACGTACTGAAGTGGGGAGTGCTTCCAACCAACAACCTGTCCTGTGATGTGTATTTGGTCCCTTCCAACCCAAACCATTCTATGATATTGGATCTGGCTTCTAAACAGTAACTTAAAGAAATAGGATGGTGACATATGAATTTATAGCTGCATCTTATGGAACAGTTATTAGCAGTTGGGGGGGGGGGGAGGAAATTTGCATCTGTTCATTAAAAACCATATGTTTAGTTCATTAAAAGCATTAATCTTGCCAAGGATATTTTTGACTATTTAAAGGTGCTGTTGATTTACTCATAATTCCTCAGTTCCAGGTTGATTAGTCACTATGTGATTCAGGAAACCTCCCAGTCAAGCAGCCTATTATGTTGTCAAATACTGTTGTCATTTAGCTAAATGTTTAGCTCCTTTCCTGAAAAACTGTACCCAAAGACAACACCCCTTTCTTGCACAGGCATCTCCTCATCCCTTCTTCCCATGCTCTCTTCAAGTCTTACACTGAGTCTAAGCAGAAAGACAAGAGCAGTTACCTTACAGAGGTTTTTCAGAGCCAAGTTTTGAGGGGAAAAAAAAGGTGGTTTATCATGCCTTTTTTTCCTAGATCCTGTGAGGGAACTTGAACAAACAACCCAATTTGCCAGTCACCAGGAGTCCCCCAAAGGTTCTGTCAAAGTCAATGTCTGACAATGATTGAGTCTTACTTGTCCCAGTGCCAGAGGGAACAATTCCTGTTGCAGACACAACTCTGTCACCTCTGAGCACAGCTTTGGCAGCCAGACTTCTTCCCATTAGCTGAGACTCCTGCCACAGAGGAAAGGTGGGCACAGACAGTGGGAAGCTGGCCATGAAACATCACTTTCCACATATCAGATGTGATTGCAATGAACGCAAACATGGGCTTCTGACCAATATTTCAGCAGCATTTATCAAGAACTGGCTTCTCATCTGACAAGCAAACCTGAGGAGGTAGCACGGCTGAGTGTAAATTCAGGAATTCAATTTAGGGCAAACCCAGCAGCCTGCGTTTAGGGAGACACTCACTCACCAGGATTCGTGATGAAGGCACAACAGTTACTTTCCCCGGACAGGTTCCAGCAGCACCTCTAGGAGCAAAAGCTGGCTGCACTGCCTACAGTGGATCTGCCCACTGAGCTGCTCCTTCTTCAGAACCAGCCTGTAAATAATTCAGTTTTCACAGCCTCTTGTTTCTCCTGTTTCCCACAGTCAGAACCTTTCCCTCTTTTCAGGTACAGAGACATACACCTACCTACCACAAACATAAAACCATTCTCTTCCTCTGGAGAAGCCAGATTTGCTTCTTTTTTAAAGGAAATTATCAAAGTCAACCTAAAATCAAAGGGAACAAGGTGCCATTGAATCCTGGGGATTACCTATAGCAAGATCCAGACTATCTCCTACTTCTTTTGAAGCAGAAAAGCAGCTTTGTGTTTAACCTCATTTGCTGCACCAAGCAAAGGTTGTCATATGTTTCTTAAGTTACTTCTACCATTCCATTTTGTATTTAGGCCATCTTCCACCATCACACTGCCACATCCACAAGCTCTAAAGACCTTCCCCATCTCTTCTCTCTGCCTGCCTGATTTATCTGTATAAATCCATTTATACAGAATCACCATTTCCACCACTGCAGAACTTGTTTTCTTAAAGGATGTGTAAGCCTGGATTTTTGTCTATTACTAGAGAGGCCACTGTCTAAATGCTCCAGCCTTTCTTTTGGGATCTTTGAACACATCCAAGCACAAACTCTTCTTGCTGCTTTGCCAGCACTCACTGTAATCGAGAGCACAGTGACAGCCAATGGCAGAACCCGTCCCTTAATGTTCCCTCTGAATATCCCAGCTAACAAGAATGTCTGGAGGAGCCTAGAAGGATTAGACACCAATCCCCATGAAATTAGTGGGACCCTGGTGCTTAGCTCCTTGAAACTCCTAGGATCAAATCTTCCCTAAAGTTCCCGGGCCAGCCCCTGGTCTCAGTTACATCACGTAAATCCAAGCTCTCACCAGTCTCATCAGTGGAGTTGCTCCAGATTTTCTGCCCAGCTCCACGATAGAATTTGGCTCACAGGGGACTGTGGGCTGGCAAGGGCTTTCCAGACTCCCTGCAGCACCAGGGTTCTCCATGGCATTCCCTGCAGCCTGGCCATGTGTGTTCTGGGTACCCACATAACAGGCAGTGCCCCACTGTTGCTGCTTCTTCCTCTCCTCTGCTGAGGTGCCCATCTTCCCTCGCAACCAGCATCCTCTCCACGGAGAAAACAGTCCTTCCTACAAGCAGCACTGCACTGCCAATTGCCAGCCAGTATCTGTTAGCAGACCTCAACTTCTTAACAGCCGTGCTAATTATCTTCCCCATAAATATCCCTTTTCTCCTGAGCTAAACCCACAGTATGCAGACAATCTTGCTCTGGAAGCCTGCACAGTTTATTACTTAAGGTAGTTGTTCCATTTAGCGCACTTTTCAGCAACGAAGAAAAATGTCAATGCTGTCCTACACAAAAGACAGCCCTCCAAGTGAAGCAGTTTTAGATTAATGCTGAAATAAGATGCCAATGTTAGAATCCATTGCTATCATCAGTGGAGAGCTTATTAACACAGTGCTTATTTAAATCTTATTTACACATCCACGCAGGTACTCATTATGTTTTTAGAAAGAGACTATTTAATCCTTTCTACCCTGGGCAAGCACAAGCTCACTCTTTCAGGAAACTAAATCAGCATCCACAGTCCCGTGAGGTCTGAGATACCTTAGCTGGTGTCAAACACCAAGCCCACCGTCACAGGGAGAGGAACAGACTGCACTTTTAATTTATAATTACATGGGCTAATTGTGGACAGCATCAAAGGGATTCCACTGAGTAACAAGACAGAGAGCAATTAAGCCCACTTTATCTTTGTCATCCTCTAACAGTGCTGAATTGATGGTGCATCAGGCAAAAAGAGAGGGAATATGCAAAAATTGAGAGAGAAAAGGCCGTTCCTCCAGCGGGACACTCCTCACGAGTCCCTGTGCAAAGGGTGCAAGAACAAACAGCCCTATTCAACATCTCAGGCATCACCACCTTTTTTCCCTCCACAGAAGTACCTGGCAGGTGCAAAACAGATCTCCTGCTGCATCTTATGGTTTCCTCTCAGTATTGCAGGGGTCCAGTGCAAGAAGGTGTCGGGACACTCCAAGGGACACGGGTACAAGATAGGGCAGACCTTCACAGAGAAGTCTGACCATGCCTGGAACGCTGTCTACATTGAAGGAAGGTGGCATTTGCTGGACAGCACCTGGGGAACTGGTTTTGTTGATGATTCTGTCACCAAGTTCACCTACAGGTAAAGAACCACTCTCTAGGTTAATACAGAAACCCACCACAAAGGCACAAAGAAAGCTGATGGGTTTGGCAAACCAAACAGGGACAAACTTTAGGTGCCACAGGAAGACCCAAAGCCCTGACAAGGCACCAGGGCTGCCTATACAGGAGATAGAGCATGACCTGTAGAAAGGCAGCAAGCCACAAACTGCTAAAAGGCCACTGGTTCCTCTGATCACATGTTCAGATTTTTGCAATTCTCCATGGCACTCGATTCACAGCTTTTGTGAATCCATTTCAACCAACACCCAGGGCCTCCCTCTTTCCTCAGGAGGGGAAAAGGGCAAATACCTGGGGTTTATCCCAAAGCTCAGCATTTGCCCTGGAAATGGAAGTCCAAAGCTCAGATTTCTTCTCTGCCTGGAGGATTTCAAACCCAGTGATCTCAGTCTCAGCAGCTCAAAGCACTCCAACGTCCTCCTGCTGAACCCACCACCACTGCAGGGGAAGAATTCAGTTCTTGTAATTACTCATATTCCTTTAACTTCTTCCCTCTTTTCCAGGTACAATGAGTTTTACTTTCTGACTCATCCGGCTCTGTTCATTAACACTCACTTCCCAGATAACAGCAACTGGCAGCTTCTGAAACCCACCCTGACACTGAAGGAATTTGAGAGCAGCATGCTGTACAACAGCAGCTTCTACTCATTGGGCCTGCTGGCTTCGCACCCAGAGACACCCATCATCCAAACAGGTAACACCCCACAGGACAGCAGCTGTGGAGCATCTTCCCTCATTCATCCCACATCCAACACACACTGCTGTGCACTTCTTCAGGAATGCTGAGCACCCTGAGTTAGTCCAGCAGCTCTTTTAGCATAAAACCACTCAGGTACCACCACTGAGCACCAGGGCCTACGTTTAAGATCACCTCCCTCAGATTTTCCAAGAGCTGCAGGAATTTAACTGGATGGCTAATTTACGAGTGCTGAGAACAGGATAAATGCACATCTCCAAAACAAAGGCCACTCCTTTTTGAGGGACACAGGTCCAAGCTATGACCTGCCAATTACAGCTCTTTGTTTTACTTTTAGAGAAGCAGCGATTTATGTGGACAGATTAGCCTTCCCAGAACAGGGTGTACATGCAAAAATTGTACTGATGCTTCTATGCACTCTTTTTTTTGTATTTCCTAGTAAATGGAAAAGCCTCTGTATCCGTGGATTGCCGCTCTAACACATTATTCATGTTTGAGCTGAAGGGAACAGATAAACACGGTTTAATGACTTTGAAAAAACATGGAATGAAGCTGGACATCTACCCACAGGAGACAGGGAGGCACAACCTGAAGATCTTCGCCAAGCCCTCGAAAGCTGAGACTTCAGAACGTGCCTACGACTGCGTGTTGGAGTACGTGGTGGAGTGTGAGTCCGTGGACAAGGCCACATGCCTCCCAAAGGACCTGCACCAGCCCGTGGGGCCCAGCTGGCTCTCAGAGCGCCAGGGGTTCCTGCGGCCATCCCACCGCGAGCCCATCATCCACACCAACGACGGGCGCTGCTCCCTCACCTTCACCCTGGGCAAGGACATCAGCGTGCTGACCTCGCTGCACGCCGATGGCAGCAGCCCCGCCGAGGACCTGAGCAGGCAGCACGTCATGCAAATCCTCCGCGGGAACCAGATCGAGCTCAAGGTCCACCTCCCACACGCGGGGAACTTCGTGATGAAAATCTACTCCAAGAAGAGGTCAGATCCTGGTAGCTATGACTACGTCTTCAACTACCTCATCACGTGCCTGAACACGGAGGTGAAGTGGCCGGCCTTCCCCCAGCGCTACAGCAAGTGGATGGAAGACTACGAAATCCTGGAGCCGCTGTCGGGCCTGCTGCCTGCCAACCGCAACGTCCAGTTCAAACTCAAAATGCACGGCATAGCCAAGGTGCTGGTTCAGGCTGAGGACACTTACCCTCTCACCCACAACAAAGGCTGCTGGGAGGGAACCTGCAACACCTCGGGGTGCAGAGAGGTGTCTGTGATGGTGCACGAGAATGCCAACCACAGCTTTTACTCGTACGTCCTCAAATACAAAGTTGAGACCCAGTAACACCCACTCCTTGTTCTTTCACTCACCTGCATGAACCAACCTTCCCAAAATGCCCCTGGCCAACACAGCTTTAGGAGATCACTCATTCTCGCAGCAAAATCTGTTCTTTCAACAAATGGCAGGACAACACTTGCAGGCTTTTGCAAGACCACGGGCTCAAAGACGGTCAGAGAGACAGAAAATCCTGTTAAAGGGAGCAGCAGTGGAAGACATGAAATAAAAAGCTCACCTATGTTTCAGTGACACTGTCCAGACCGATATCTTGAAGAAAACAGCTGACTGGCCACAGGTCATTCTTTGCCAAGAGTGATTACCAGTTTCCAAGTTATGGACCATAAGAAAAGTCTTACAAGGGCTACTCCAAGAAGAAATCACCTAGTTATGGGGCAGGATGAAGGAAGTGCACCCGGCTTTTGAGCAATATTGGGCACAAGGAACTTCAGGATATTTAATCTGAGTTTCTGTATATCTTTAGTCAAGTTGTATATCCAAGGAGAGAGAAGTGTTAGGAAGGAGATACAACATGAAATTTCCTTGTGCACTTCATTGTCTTACAGATTTAAGTGATACTGCGAAATTGCTTTTTACACTGACTCTTAAATACAATAAATATTTGCAATATACAATATTACAATTGTACATACAATACAATCATTTGTACCTTTTTATATTACAGTATTGTAAACACTTTTTCTGCTGTAATTATATCTCAATCATATAGGTGTTTCCATAACTAAAACTACAGTAAAATGGAGAATAAAGTTCTCAGAAATCACTCCTTACTCCAATCCATCCACACAACACTGCAACTAAAAACTGATGGGGTTCTGTGGGATAGCAAGCTGAGTGGCATTATCATGTAAAACTGTTTGGTGCTGTACTCTTGTAAACCTCCCCCCCTTGTGCACAAGGAAAGGGGGGCTTCTAGCGAATCCCACCACAAATGCATGTCCTAAGGTGAAGCAATATTTTCACAATTGATTCAGATGTCAGTGAGAATTAGCATGACCCAAATGATACTATGTTTGAGCTTGAATTGAAAATAAACCTGTTATGTTTTTGCACTCTTATTTCATTGACCCAACAACATGAGTTCTCTTCACAAAGCTGCTGCATTTCCCACACAAGAAAGGTGGGTTATTCCTACATCCTCCCCTCCTCAGCGACTGGGTGGCAGGAATTATTCCTACTAGCACGGGGCTAGGAGGATTACTGTCACGGTACTCCCTCTACCCCAGCACCCAGGTTTGACCTCCCTGAGTACCTGGAGCCAGATTCAAGCATCAGAACTCTCTGTGAGGACACAGGATGCTGCAGACACGAGTTGCAAGCATAAACACAACACGTAACCTAACCGGTCTTACTCCAGGGTGCCGGGAGTACAGCAACGCTTTGGGGGTTTTTTGTACTTGGGAGACAAGGAGGCTCCATGTGCGACATAGAAGTAGGTTTTAAGTCCTCCCCCAAACAGCTAAATGTCTTTGCCCTCAAAAACTGGTGGCAGCAGCTCCTCCCTGCAGGAACACTGACAAGCCTTGCAGCTCAGCAGGCTCTGCTCCCCGGACACCAACACAGACTGAACAGCACAGATGCAAGACACACTAGGGATTTTTTGATTACCTAAGGACCTTGAAGGCTAAAGTAAGTATTGTCTGTCAGCACAGACAGCCCTGGTTTATTTTGGTGCATGGCAGAAGGATACTTTTTTCTCAGATCCCACTTTTCAGATCGAGGAGGACACACTGAAGCAGCTTTCATTTCACAGGTCACGCTGATCCAGTCAAACACGTCACTTCTTACAATGGGAGGATAAGGCGGCATCCCAGAGAGTTTAGGGACTAAAGAAAACAACTTCTTCCACGTAACAGGGTCAAGGATACAGACACCTTTTGTGGAAACAAACACTTGATGTTCTCTCAGAAACAGGCAGGAGTAGCTGGCAGACACAGCAAAGCCTCTCCGCAGTGACACTGCTGTGAGCATGGCCCCTGCTCCTTGTCTCAAGAGACTCACTTTCCCAACATCTCTATCTAACCCCACATGCTTTATTTCTGTCTCCAGATGGCAGGGGCAACAAAAAATTACCCCAAGAGAGTAGAGAGGACAGTTTATACAGTATTGCCCCCTATATAGCACAACCTCAGGGAGCATTCCCTCTCCCTACTACCCAATCCTGCAAAAGCCAGGCACCTGCAATTACACACATCTATAAAGGCACAGACAGATTCTTGAAGCCCTCAACGTAAAGAGTGACCCAAAGCACTGCCACACCTGCAGCAGAACATTTGTAGCACAGCAGACAGAGCCTGCACAGCTTCCCACTCTGGTGATGTACAAAAGGAAGTTCAGCAAATAAAGTTCCGTGCTTTTGTCTCAAACAGAAAAACATCTGGCCCAGCCCTGCTAATGTGCAAGAAATTCTTTAGTGCTATCGAAGGCATGAGTTCAAAGACACAAAACCCCTCTCCTGCTTCATTAATTATAAAGTTTCCAGGGGTGTGTGATCATTCCAAGGGAGGTTTGACACTGCAAAGGCCTGAAAAACCCTGCAGCCCCAGATAAAAGCACCTCAGAAGTCTGCACTTGCTGTGACATCTCCCTCTGGGATAAACATGGCTTCTTCTCCTCCCCCTCATAAAAAATGTGCATTCTTCAGTGCAGCCAAGGCTCCAACACCAGGAGAACAGCTCTAGAACAGACTTCTCAGTTATCTGGGGACATCTGTAAAGAAAGAAGGTGGGAAGGACAGAGCACACACACCAGCGCAGAGAAGGAACTCAGCAGTTCCCCTAAATTTTACTTTGGATCACATCAGTTCAAATTTTTACAGTCTACTCTCTCAGTGAAGCTACTTATTACAGGTATTAGAAATTGCTAAACACTGTAGCATTATAGTTGCTAATTAAACAAATGCATCATCTTCAGGCTTGCTCTTCCCTTCTGCCAGTATGAACTGCCACTGTATCTAAGGGAAAATATGGAAGAGAACACCAGTAATGGGGCAAAACATCTTGTAACTTCTGAAAACACTTACTGCATGATGCAACACCTGGTAACTAACTTAACAAATCCTCAGGAAATATACTACTATTTGGAAGGTATCATTTAAAAAATGAAATTGCTGGCATCCCTGAAGGACATGAGGAATCCTTAAGGATTCTGGCATAATGCACACTGGGGGCACCTATAGGTTCATCTGCAAAGAAGAAACCGTTTGTTCTATCCTGCTGTTCAGTTTTTACTAAATGCCCCATGACCAACATGTCCTTATTTGAGATCTGGACAGACAAGGTGGTTGTCCCAAAAACACTTACCTGTGGACAGCTCTGAAGAGCCAGTTGTGGGCAGTTCAGCACTTCATTACAAAGGCTGCACAATGAGAATCCAGAATTTGAAGGTTTTATCCTGTGAAAAAAACTCCAGAAAAAAGCCAGAATAAAAGGAATTTTGAATTTAAATATCTTTGAACCCCGGAATGCAGAGTTGCATGTCCGAGAGCAGTCACAGTCTGCAGCCAGGCATCACCTCTACTGAACTCATCTGCCTCACCTGATGGCTGGGTTCTGCATGTGTGGTTCTTTTGAATTCCTGTTTATTGACAGCATTAAGCTGCTCTAAGACAAGTTGAAGCAGATAGAAGGGAACAGGAAACTTACAGACACAGACAAGGGATGGTTATGTCCCAAGGTTTGTCTGCACAAAAGTTGAGCAGGCTCAGACACAGGAGAACTGCAGAGACCTCCTGGAAGAAAGCAAGTTCTTAAGAAGTAAGTTCTGTTCACTCATTGATAACCTACTTTCCTCAAGGAAAGACTGAATATATTCCCAAAGAGAGGCCACAGAGGCATTTTAATGCAGCAGTTCAACTGGACTGCCCAGATAGCAACCAGGCTGACACAGCTCACACAGCAGCTGCTCTGTGGATGAACCTCAACCTGTCCGTGGGTCCTCCTCCCATCCAGTGTCATTGCCCATTCCAACAACTCTCGTCTCCAAGAGCCATGACCACAATCAGAATTCAGCCAGTCATTCCTCAGCTGTTTTGCAGCACTTCAAAAGCATCGTGCGTGGCAAGATAAAGACACCAGATACTACACAGACAGTAAAGGGCAGAAGTTGCATGAACCAGGGAATATTAAGAAATTCTACTAAGACAAATTAACTGGAGAAAATGGAGGTAGCCTAAAGTAAAGAGGAATTATATTCCTAGTTCCTTGAAAAACATAGCTATGCTGTAACGCAAAAGGTGTTGATCCAAGTTCCTGATGACGAGGCAAGATAAGCCACCAGAGATTCACTTTGTGTATTTGTATGAACAAGAAAAAAAGGTATTTGTCATTCTGGTTTATTTCAATGCTTTTGCATGTATAAAACATACTTTAAATACTTTACATAAAAATTAGCAAGTGGTTTGCTTTTTAAAAACACCAAAGTCTTTGTGAGCTCTGATGCAGGTCTCTGACCTTCCAAGCTGACTAAAATGTTTGTGGTGTAATACCTTTCATCAGAACAAACACGTTAGAGAGGAGCTCCTTTCCCTCAGCTCCCATCCTGCTGATTCAGTTCCAAGTGGGAGGCACGGCCTCTCAAATTCTGATGGCAAGTGGTTTAGAGGCACCACCTCAGTCACAGTTTGGAATCACATATTCCAGCATTCCAATTCCACAAGAAACATCACTCCTGCTGTTCAAATCGTCTCACTATCTTTGCACTCTCTTTTTTCAGTTCCTCAATGTGAGCATTCAGACATTCCAGGATGTGCTGGGATCTCACTTCTTCCTCTTCCAGGTATCTTGCAGCTATTGATCCAACAGAAGCTGTAGGCAAGGGGCACTAAAGGGAAACAAAGGGATATCAGATATTCCTTCATTCCAAGTTTCAGCCAGAAACACCATGGATCTGCAAACCACACAACTGAACAGGCTCCTAAAGGGCTCTTGGGTCCCTTCCATCTTATTGGGCAGAATAAGCACTCAGGTCTGACACCTCTGCCACAGGTCATGCCCCTCCCAACAGCCTCCAGCCAACAGTCATTGCTTTCAACCAGCCAACACTGCCAAAAAATCAGTACTGAAGAATCACGGCTAAAGAAGGTCATTTCTCCTGGCCGTTGGTGCTCCTCGAGGTTTACATCCTGCTTCTTGCCTCCATGAAAAGCCCAGTGAGCAGCAGCACCTCAGAGTTTTGAGTTCCCGGCAAGGGAAAGCACTGCCAGACTGGGGATATCTGCTGTGTTTTATATACCTCCCATTCTTCCCTAAAGTAATGGGCTCCTGAAACAATCCCACAGGCAAGTACAGATCAAACTCCCCTCCCAGCTCAGAAAACAGCACCTCAGTCCAGCAAGCAGTGGTCAACAAACTACTCCAGATTCTTTCCTTTGCAGTCAAGAACTATTCCTGCTCCTCACATCACTTACCACAAGTTATTAACTTACAAAAACAACATTGTAAACCAGGCTTAATGTACAAGATGAAGAGAAGCCTCCTGCACAGGGGCTGGCACGTGAAATATAAGGTTACTAAGGGGCTGCTTTCCATAACAGACCATTTGCCTTGTTGTCTGGGCAAGAGAAAGTTAGTGGTTATTTCCAGATCCTGGAATCTTGTGGTTTTCAGGTCTTTTATCAACAGCCAGGAACAAAGGGAAGCAGAAAAAGGTTGCAGGTAACAGGCAGATCTCTCCCACCCCACTACTGCCTACGGATGAGAATTTCTCCTCTCCTGATGTTAAATGAAATGATTTAAAGACCCTGGACCTGACCATGAGCAGGGAGTCCCAGTCAACACCAGGAGAAATATGTGCATTTCCTTAGAAACCTTATTGCTACCTCTCAAAACAAAAAGTAGCATGTCATCTTCTACTAAGACATCAAGCCCTAGAGCTTCTCAGACCCAAAAGTGGAACTGTTCACACTTAAGGTCCAATACTGAAACCTGAAGAGTTTCCATTTAGAATATTACAGTTCCCTAAGCTCCCAATATTGCTTTCTGGACATGTCCACTAACTACTCTAGTCTTGAAACAATCAAGTTTCAAGTAAATCTCATCAAGATCTACAGAGCTTACAAGCCTCCACTTATCTGTGCATCAGCCTTAGAGCTGGACTCCTCTGGACTCCCCACAAAACAAAAACAGCTGTTGTCACTGCTAACAACACACAAACAGAGGAGAAAGTGTTCTGAACACTGCTAGGGCAAAACATCTGGAGTAAGGACCAGTACTCAGCATTCTCCCCTCCTTGAATTGCTACAGGAAGAAGTGATTCAGTCCATATTTCCTGTATCTTGGGCAAGTACTCCAGCAACTGAGCTGAGGTAAAAGGACAGAGAAACTCCCAACACTGTCCCTACTAAAAAAGTGTGATCAGCAGCTGGGGAAAATAGCAACCTCCCCTTGTGCAGTGAAGCAGGGATTTCAGACTTTCCCATCAGCTAGGATAAGCAACTTTAAGTTCAGTGTGCTGACTGCTGCAGCCCCACTCAGAGGGGTCAAACTCACCCTGTGCTTTACAGATGTGCAGCAAGCAGTCACTCAGAGACTGTGAAATACTGAAACACTCAGCACTCCATGTCCACTCTGAGCCACTGCTACAGAGCCAGGCCAAAGGCTGAGGCAGAACTCAGGTGGTGGTACACACTGAGGTACAGCACCAGCATGGAGAGAACCTCATGCTCCTGGAATTCGCTGAGCAATCACACAAACACAAAGCTTTTCCCCAAGGAGTTCTGAAGAGCCATCACATGGATGCCACTGGCCAACTGTTAACCATCCAGCAATGGCTGTCCCTCCCTCTTTATTGTCTGATTTATGCACACCATGCAGCCAAGTCATGCATTCAAAAACCTGCCTCCTTTTGCCAGATGAGAACCCAGGTCTATTTTCAGCTGTTGAATAGCAACCAGTTCCTGTACAACTGCTTACCAAAGGCACAGATTCTCTCTGATTATTTGAGACAGGCTGTTTGGATGCTTCATCTGCAAAATCTTTGTTTCCATCCACCATATGGAGAGAAGGCTCTGCTCCCAGCAAGGTAGGTGACTCCTGGCAGTTCTCCCTGCTGGTCTGGGAGGGTGACTCACCCACCTCGGGAGGCACAGGTCCCATTTCAGCAGCCCCACATCTCTGGGGCTCCCTGTGATGATGCTGAGCAGTCCCATCAGGCTGGAGATGTATCCTGGCTGCTTGTTCATCGTGCATGTGCTGTGCTCCCCAAGCCGTCCTGGAAGGCAGGTTTGAACACAGAACTGAGTTTGCCTCTTAGCAGCTGAGCTCCAGCAAAAACTCACACAGAGGTAACAATTAACAGAGACATTACTAACAGCCCTGGCAATCCAAACTTGTTAGCATAGCACTTCCAGATGCACATCCAGTCCCTAGGGAATTCTCTCTCCCTCTTCTGCTACTGTAGATACCAAAAACTACAGCCTGCACATCCTAAAACTGCTACAGAAAGGAGCGCAGCTGCCTGGGCCACATCTAATCCTGTCACCAAAAGGAGTACAGACTGCTGCTCAATCAGAGAGAGAGGCAAAGGCAGACAAAAGACAAACACTGCTGGCTCTGCAGAACACAAACCAGCTGGGACTCAAAGCTATCGCACTGCTGAAAGCATAAAGGCAGATCCCCAAACAGTCCCTGTGTTTTCCCAGACACACGCTGTGCTGCAGAGAGACACTACACACACAGTACATCATTAAAACCCACACATCCCCACGCCCTCTGCCCTCCTCCACGCTCGGGGTGGTGCCACACTCACCTGTGCTGCACACCCCTGGTCTGGGGCTCTTTGCCTGGCTCCTGCTGGGCAGTGCCCTGAGGTTCACCCGGGCCGAGCCACACACTGACTTCCAGCTTCGCCCGGGCCTCCGCAAGGTCCTTCCGCAGCTGCTGGTTCTCAGACTTGAGCTTGTGCAGCTCCACAGCACAATCTTCCCTGAGTGCTCTCAGGGTCACATCTTTTCCCTAACAGACAGAGAAGGGCTGAAGTCAAAAGTTCTGGTTTGCAGGACGCCACAGTCAGACCCAGAGCAAAGGCCAGCAGGAGATTCCTTAAGGCACATCCTCTAACCTCGATTTTGACTGTCAAAGCTTTCCAGGCTTTCCCGAGGGAAAATCAGTTATATGTGCCTCACTGGGTCTGCATCCAGACAGGCTGTGCTGATCCACCTGGGAAAGCAAGTCTCTCACCACTGAATGCTTTTGAAAACAGGAAAATAAAGACCAAGAATAGTTCACCTGTGTTTTAACCTGGCCTTTCTTTTGGAAACTCTGAACAAATTGCTTCTTCCCACTTCCTTTTTGCCAGTTCTATTAAATTTAGATGCTTAATTCATTCTCATCACTCCTGTATCTAAGGACTTTCCAAATGTGCATTAGGACCACCTGGCCAAGATCAGCAGCTCCTCTTTCATGGGGCTGTGGAGCTTTTTTTTCAAAGCAGAGTTCTTACTTTGCACCCTGCTACCAAATTTTTGGGAAGTCATGCAGGCAAAAGCCACCAGGCACTTTTCAAGCAGAAGCAATGGGCCTCAGGTTATTCAGTTTCAAATCTGCCCTCCCAAAAGCTCTGGTTTTTCTCCATCTCAACAGCCACAAGCTTCTGTTCAACACCCTCCCAAGAGCTTGGCACATTTGACAATCACCCCAAACTAGTACTAGAGCTAAGCACTTCCTTCCCACAGATCTGACAGGATAAAAGCTCTGCTATATTCCCATTAGGCTGTCAGCTGTCTGAAGCCAGTCCTTGCCCCCTGGGAAGCATCCATTCTGCTTTAGGTGAGACAGAACTTGCAAACGCAGCCACTAAAATGAACCAACTCCACGGTATTATTCCTGCCAAGGCTGCACCTTTTCCATGCAGGCTCCCCTTCTTCCCTCTTGCCAAGAGGGCCTCACCAAATCTCAGGAGTGCCACAGCAGCAGCAGCCCACCACAGGGTGCCTTCCTGGTGCACTATCCCAAGGCACATACTCCCAGGCTGCAATCTGCCCATGGAATGCCAGGGCCAGCCCTGCTGAATCGCTCCTCACCAGGGGAGAACATGTTCTCTCCCCAGTTATTTCAAGTAGTTACAGCTCTGGGACAGGCCAAAAGGACTTCACAGAATCAGAATCAGAGGTTTGAGGTAAACTGGCACAAAATGGAAGCATAATAAAATAATACAAACCATGGGCCAGAGCCCATGGAGAAGAACCAGATGATGGTTGTTCCTGCAGTTCTCCTCACCACTCTCTGACTGAACAAATGTTCATCATTTCTGCACCTTATTTCCTCACAAACTGCCCCTTTTGCTTGCGTTTTAAGTTCACTGAACTCTACCACGCGTTTTAAGAGGCCTGGGCAAAGACTCTGACTGCTCCCAGGTGGGAACACACAGCACCAGCCCCTTCCCATCTCCTGGTTCTCAGTGCATACCTCCAGCATACCACACTTGGTTTTTTCCAGCTTCTCTGAGAGATGACGGTTTTCCAGCCTCAAGGTTTCCAGCTGGACCAGAACTACCTGAGGAGACAGAGGCAAACAACAAGCTCAGAAAAAGAAGAGAGCACATACCCACAACACCCTCCAAGCATTTTCCACCCTCAAGTTCAACCACAGAGCAAGGTTTGGGCCATTAGTTGTGCAGGGACCCTACAGAAAAGGTCAGAAAAATGACCATGCACAGTCATTCACTTGAGTTTCCATCCAGGTCTAGCTAGCATGAGTGTTCCCAAAGAATTCTGTGGGACTGTCAGTTATTGGTTTGAAAAGCAGCAGCAAGACAGATTCAGTGAACACTATGGATTAGAAGATTCCATCAGAAGGGTCTCAAAGTCTTTGTTCAAAGGCTAAGGAGAGAAGGAAACTATGAACATAACTAGAAAGCAGGATGGTATTCCAAGCCTTCAAATCCCTTAAAGAGACAGTATGAGAGTCTTCTGCTTTTTTTACCCTGTGCTCCACTGCTTTCCTCTCTGCTCTTTCAACTTCTGCCTTCAGCCGCTGTTCCAGGTCTGATGTGGAGCCGCTTGTCGATGCAATGGTGATGTCCCGCTGGTGCAGCTCCTGTGTCAACCTGGAGATCTCCCTTTTCATCCCTTCCAGTTCACTGCTGCGGGTTTGTTCAGAGTGAGAGAGCTGCTCTTTGAGCTGGAGGGAGAGATGCACACATCACCCACGAGCTTTTAGAAGATGTTTCAGCAAAGAAAGCGAAGTATCGCACACAACAATGTGAAATCTCAGCACCGGAAAACAAAAGGCTCTATGTAACAAGCTCTGTGCATGTTTATCCTTCCTGACTGAAAGCCACCTCATCCCAGTCCTTTCCCACACCATAAACTGCCAACTGGGACAGGACAGGAGTTACATGCTGTGAAGCACTTGAGAAGGAAGATGCATAATTCATCAAATCACGGTCTCTTGAACTCACCACTGGACCTTGGTGACCAACACCAGAGAGCCAGAGGTCCACCATCACTGTGGAAGTACAGCAACACTTGGAAAAGATAACCTTGCAATTTGCCACTCTACCTTCCTGAGGTATTTAAAGACACCATTTAAGGATGGTAACTTTAAATAGCTCAAGCCAGATTTTTCTTCCAGGAATTAATTTGTCCTAAGTCTTCTGAATCAATATTAGCTTGTAGCAACTAGAGCTACCCATGGCAAGTTTCCACCAGCCAGCTATGCACAGGGTAAAAATACATCTCTTTGTTTTCATAACTACATGTGATGACCACAAGTCTCTGCATTATGAGACAATAATCATTCCCTATTTACTTTCCACATGACAGGCACAATTTTATTTTTAGTCTGTTCAATCTCATCTCTTTTCCAGTTTGCTAAGTACTATTCCATTCAGCTGTTCCTTGTATAAAAAACACTCCATCCTTTGGGTCATCTTTTTCCATACCTTATCTTTTGGTTTATACAATCCTTTTTTGAGGTGGCAGACCTGCACTGCATACAGTATTCTGGTAGGCACACTGTATATTTATTCAGTGACACAACAGAACAACAGCAGCATAATTTCTTCCCCAGGATTCCATTCCATTAGTCAAAAATATTAACCACCCAAACATTCAGGATTTTTCTGAGTATTATAAGCATTTTAGAAAATTGAACCAGATGATCTCTGCCTAGCCATGTAAATACTGTACACATGGTGATTTATCTCCATGTCACCTCAATGCCTCCCAAGCATATAAAATAGAAACAGCCATCATAAATCTCTCTCTCCTCCCCAGCAGCCTGTGGGAGATTCATTTACTGTGTGGCTGTTTAGATGTGTAACCAAGCACACATCTCTGGCAAGATCTGTACCTCTACACATTCAGAATAAAGGATGAAGGATTTCCACACAAGTCATGTTTTTCACTCAAGCCCAGTGAGGTTTCTACTCTACCAGGTTGCAGTGAAAGCTCTCACACCAGCTGATCCAGACCATTATTTAAAGTCAAGCCTTTTGGAGGGCTTGTTCCCCTTGGGTACTCAAGCACTGGGGTGAGGCCCTCGTACAGGTGAGCAGCTCCATCCTCCCAGCCCCTGACTTCATGTCCAGGTACCAAGCCTGAAACAAACTCCCTTATTCACAGATGGACTAGAACACACTTGAAGCCCTGAATCAAGCGTGATAGGACATATCACAGCAAACTCATTCCCTCTCTGCTCTTCATCCTGTTGGGAGCCTGTATTAGGCTTAAACTCATGATTCCAGACCCTAATTTCTTTGCATTTTTGTCCCTCCAGCACTAATTCAGGTATTTTCACAGTGCACAGAAGTACTGTGGGATGCAGGGCAGGCCCAGGAGATGCTCACAAAGCCAAGTTCAGACACCTGCAAACACCTCCTCTCAGCTCCTCCTGTCAGGTGTGCTCCTTACCTTCAGCACATCCCTGACTCCACAGCACCCCCGCCCTTGGTCCCCTGGAACTGTGCTGCCTGTGCATATGGCACACATGGGATCAGCTCAGCCCTCCAGTGCCTTCCCAACCCCCAGGAACAAAGCCACGGTACCTTTTTAATCTCTGCCTTTGACTCAGTCTGGTGGTCTACCATGGACTGCAGCTCTTTGATATTCTCACCCAGCTCCTCCCTCAGCTGCACACACCTGGCGTTTGAAGACACCAGGCTGGGTAAAAATGTAAAAGGACAGATTAGAATACCCTGAGGAGGGGGAAACGGTCAGAGAAACTCTGATCTTCCAAGCAGTCTCCTATGTCCGTCAGAACAGAAACCAGACTCAGCCTACAAGCTCCTTACCAATCCTTTGGGTTTGCTTTCCAAAATCATTTCAAAACAGATCAGCAAGCTGACCTAACAGCTGTTTCTTGTTTCTTTCTCTACCATGCTAAGATTACAAACTTTCCATGCAAACATGAATCTGAAAACCACAAACTCAGAGAGGAATCACAGAATCACAGGATGGTTTGGGTTGGGAGGGACCTCAAAGCTCATCTCGTTCCACCCCCCTGCCAAGGGCAGGGATACCTTCCATGAGATCTGGTTGTTGCTCCAACCCCCATCCAGCCTGGTCTTGAACACCTCCAGGGATGGGGAGTCCACAATCTCTTTGGGCAGACCTGTTTGTAGCTCTTATTTCATGAAAAGTCTCCATCTGGTTCTTACCAGCTGCCTAACAAAGACTCCTTAACCTATTAGTGGGAAGGTGCTCAGCCTAAGCAAGCTGAAACACCGAGAACACCCACAGTGTGCAGTGAAAAGCAGCCAACCAATTAGCACTATCACACTGCAAAATGAATAGCACTTGATTTCTTTAGCCCTTTGATATTTAAAACAAGCCTACAAAAATCAGTGGGACGGGTTAACTGGATGAATACAATTAGGTGCTGCATTATTATCCAAGATTAATTGCACTTTCAAGAGGAGCAAGCAGTGGGCTACCTGTTCTCGAGACGAGTCACCTCCGACTGCAAGTGCTGTTCCTTCTTCTGGGCAACATCCAGCTGCAGCAGCACGTGCTCCAGCTCCGGAGAAGGCAACCGCTGCCCTTGCAAGCGTTCCTCCAGGGCCCTGAGGAGAAACCTCAGCTTCAGCCTCAGCACAGAAACACCACGTCTGAGTTCACTGATACAGGGAACACAACCCCTGGTCTCTTGGACCTCTCTGCAAAACACACAGAGCGCAGCAGTGGCCGACCTCTGCGTGCATGTGAGGAAGCAAACACACAGCTGGATGACAGCCCCTGCCTGAGTTCAGGCTGATTGAAAACCACCACATTTTAGTTTCATGTTGGCCTCCCTGACAGAGATTGGCTGGTTGGTAGGTAAGCAACACCCAAGCCTTCTGACACAGCCACCAGAACCCGACACTTCTGCACGTTGCCAGTGCAAAAGGTGAAGGCCAAGATGATTTTGTCACAGATGTAGTTACCTCACCAAGGCCCCCATCTGACATCAAATCGGTGAGAACTTTCAGTTATGTTAATTAGCACGTTATCAACCGTGAACAGCCTCCAGCACTTGACTGAAAATGCCTGAGGGAAACAACCTCAAAAGCCCTGTGCTGCCTCCAAGAAACCCAGCTGAGGAGAAAGTGCGTTCCTTCCACCCTCTTCATTGATTATCAGCTGATTTCAAGAGCCATGTAATTTGGCAAACGCTGCAAGGGAGCACTTGTGAGAAACGACAGCACACCACTCTAGACACAACCAACACAGATCCAGCTGCTACTGTCCTCAGTGGGAGAACCTGGAATGTAGATCTGGATTCAAGAGCCTAAGTACCAGTGAGGCCCAGATGCTACCTGATGAGGAATTCCTTTGTGTGAAGAGTTTCAGTCATCCTGGCCAGCTCTTTCTGTAACTGTTCCTGCTGCAGCTTGGAGCTGTCAATGAAATCTTCCTGAGACTGCAAGGTGGCTTTCAGTTCCCTCTTCTCATCCTGCAGCACCTGCACAGGAGGGGGAAGGAATGACTGTTGCAAGATGGACTAAATCTGTTTGCTGTAATGTGATGAGAGGTTGATCAGATTTTTTAGGACCCTTGGAAATACTGCAGAGCAGCACAGGGTTACCAGATCAGTTTTGAGGCCAATCAGGAACTTTACAAAGGTTCTAGAAAGAGACAAAAACCCTGGGATTAAAAGCCTTCCTGCTACTTCTCACCCGCACTGCTTTAGACCCATTTCCGTAACAGTTCCACTGACCTCTACCATTTTCTTGGACTGCCTCAATTCCTCTTGCACTCTTTGCTGATCTGCCAGAATCTGTCGGTTGTTCTCACTCAGGTCATCCACTCTCATGTTTAGCCTCTCCACCTCCAGCTGATTGGCGCTGATGGTGTCATTGGCCCTCTCCAGCTTGCTGGTTAAGTGCTGGATTTCCGACTGGCTGGCCAGCTCCACCGAGTCCAGAATCTGCTTCCGATTGGCAAGCTGGGTCTGCCAATAGTAATTGGTGTGCAGTACAGGTAAATCACAGAAAACATGGTGTATCAAACCACATTCAACACAGCTACTGATTTCTTGGTGTACTGAGCCACATCCTCAAAGTAGGCAACATGATCTTGCAGGGAAGCAGGGAAAGCATTGCTCCAGGGTTACACAATGGGTAACACTCCTGAAGGCAAACAGAATAAAAAATAAGGAAATGAAAAAAGAAGGGGCCCTCTGATTCCAAAAGGGTTCAAAGAGAATCTGGGAAATGAGGATCTCAGAGCACTCCAGCTGCCCGAGTATGAACCAAGAACAAAGCCACCTGCTGGTTTTGGCTCGTGAAGCCAAGGCTAGACCAGGACAAACGGCTGCAGGTGAGATTTGTAAGTACCATGCATAAACAAGAGATTACCCAACTGTTAATCCCTGTTAATTCCACACCAGGACAGAAAGCAGCTCTGGGCTCACAATGGAAAACCCGCAACCACCAAACAGCCCCAAAACCAAACCGGGTAACAGCCAATTTGCTCTGCCCTCTGCACTAAATACATGGTTCCAGCAGCCTGGGAGAATGCTCACTTTGAATGTTTCATTGTTTTAATGTAGACAAAAAAGTTATAAGGAACCTATGACTAGCAGACAATACATGCTCTGTTATTTATAGGCACAATACCTTATTTCATAGTATTTCTTTCCACACAGCTAGCTGGTGAAATTTAACAAGCCAGCTCTCACATAAGCTTCTGTGAACATTCATTTCATATATTCCCTTTTCGTACAGAACCTTTCAATTTTTAAAGGTTGAAACAAAATATTTGAGTAGTTTTATACTCCCAATTTCTAAGAGTAGCAATTCCTGCCAGCTTGAGAATCACCACATACCTTGATTTATTGCCTGGCACATAATGGCTCATAACTAGGAATACTATAGGAACTGTGCATTTGCAAGACTATGGTATAATTCTGATTACAGCCTTTCATTATTATTTGAATAGTCATGACAGAAAAGGTAATCAGGAGGGGCAAGAGTAAAGCGCAGCCTTTCTTCACCCAAAAAAACAGAGTAGCAGACTGCTTGAATATGTATTTCTGCATTAAGAAAACATTTAAGCTGTCTCATATTTTCATCCACAGAACATGCAGGCCAGCACAGAATTCCAGGTCTCACCTGCTGACTTTAAAGGCTGCAGGTGTTCCAGAAGGTGCTCAGAACTGCAGAAGAACACCAGGCTTCCTAAGCAGCATTACAAGGGATGAGGGGAAGCCAAATGAAAGGAGAGTGGGGAAGTACTCCATGGTCATGGATCTCAGCATGACCTTGTGCCAGCAAGACAACCAAGCACACAAAACATAATAATAATAATAATAATAATAATAATAATAATAATAATAATAATAATAATGGCCAGTCTTCGCGAGCGAAGATCCAGGGAAGGTCTTTACACCTTCCAGCCTGCGCACATACAGAAACATCAAAGGCAAAAGTGTAGCACTTCCATGCTGGGCTTTTCAAAGCAGTTGAGGATCCAGGCAGTCTGTTCACAGTACTTAAGTCACCTACGCTGCTTTGGGAAAACCTCCCCAAATTCCTGGCTTTCTGCTGCACCGTAGAAGAGCAACTCTGAGTCCCAGTGTCCCAGCCTGTGCTCCAAGGACACATCTGTGCTCAGACAATTGAGCTATCAATGACACACAGACAGCAGAGCAGCGAGACCTTCTGCTCAAGGACTCTCTCTGCATTTGTAGACCTACTGGTGTCAGCCTCTCACAAAGGCCCTGTCAGAGCCAGCTTCAGTCCTGTCATCACAGACTCCCTCCTTGCAGGAGCTTCCACTCAAGAGCGACTCAGGAGCCCATTAACTGCAAAGTCCCCAGCAAGAGCTTCTTATCAGTGTCTGCTGTGATTGTGTCAGTGTGACTTCACAGCTGTGCTCTAGGTCAATTCATCTCGCTCTACTGCAGCACCACTACCTCCCTGAGCCATCAGCTTTGCAGGAACAGCAGCCACACTACTCCTTGCCTTAGGAGACTTCAAAAAAAAAAAAAAAAACAGACGAGGGGCTAGAAAATGCTGTTACTTCAGTACTTTGTTAAAACCTCTGCTGTAGGGAAAGAATATTTTCCAAAAGCACCCTCTGAGCTGGACCCACAAGGTACATATTTAGCTGCTGGCAGGTACACAGCTTTCAACTAGACAACATGATGTAACAGCTATTTTAAAGTGTCATATGCTGTGGTCTCTGCCTCCCAGGGAAAGATGTATCCTACCATCTTCTCTGCTAACCAGAGGGGTGTCAGGGAGAGCTGCACAAGGTTTATCTAATCTCTGCTGACAGATTCCAGATCTTTTTTCCATACAGCACTTGTACAAGTAAACCTTATTCCACCGGGACATTAAAAGTCACTTCAATGGCAACCTGAACTGGATGGAAGCCTGGGAGATTTCATTAGCCTCTCCCTCCTCCCCCTCCCACCTGCTGCCACAAACAAAACAGAAACTTCGAGCACGTTAATTGTACCTGCACGAGCTCGGAGTGCTCTGCCAATGCCTTGCGCTGAGCCTCCAGCGATGCCACCTGCTGCTGGTACTGCAGGCGCTGCTTCTCCCACTCGAGTGATTTCTGTCGGAACTCCTGCAAGAACAGCAGGGGCAGCACATTCCCTTCCAGTTCACATCCACATTCGCCTTCTCTCCCACTGTATCCTCACACACCTTTCCCCACAGCAGGGAAACCATTAGCCAGTCACCTGATGCACCGGCTCAGCAGCACAGAACCCTCACACACTGTGCTCGCTGCATTCCCTCCCCTCCCGAGGTAAAACATCAGTGTCAATTATTGCTGTTTACAAATGTTAAGTGCCAACACATTCATGGCTGGTTTCATGGGTCTGCTGTCAGAGGTTTAACAATTCAGGCTGGCTTCAGCTTCCAGAACATGCTGCCATTGAAATCAGTAAGATGACGAGAATGAAGTATAGAATTTGAATGCTAATCTCTGCCCCAGAAACTGGGCACTGTGTCAGGCGGGTGTGTGTGTGTGTTACCACATCTTTGGGGTACAGGAGGAGAAAACTGAGTGGGGTTGAGCTCAGCAGAGCAGAAAGATTAAAAGATGAGACAGGGTTGAGAAGAAGTTTGACATGTAGCTCCCTCCTCCTCAGAAAAAGGGGGAATACAACCTCCCCACACTGGAACTCATTCCATTCACATAATTTATTACTCTTTCAGCACCTTCTTCTTTTCATTTAGTCTGAGAACAGCATCAAGGTTTATCCTGTGTATTCAGAGGCTCCAGTGCAGGAAATTGCCTTTATTACAGAAGCAGTTGAGAAGAGCTACACCTGGATAGTTGATGAAGAGTACTCCTTAAACAGGATTCACAGTTCTCTTCCTAGTGGACAGCTCAGGCACCAGTAAGTCAGTTAATACATACAAACTGCTCAGCACTTGCTTTTTCACCACATACCTCCAGCTTCCTGGTCAGTCTGCTCAATTCAAACTCATCTTCTTCTTGTCCCTTGTTAGCATCTCCTCTGCCTCCCCTTGCTTTTCTCTTCTGCAGCTTCTCATAGCTCCTCCTCAGCCGGGACAACTGTGAGGAGACAGTGAGAGAGACAGCTTCGCTCAAGGCCCCAAGGCAGGAATTACAGAGCCCTTTGACAGAAGGGACACAGAATGGCTCACACAAACAATCCCCTCATCAAGGCCACACAGCTCACAAGTGAAGGCTTCCATTGGCATAATGAGCCTATTATACCAACAGCATTGCAAAGCAGGCCAAGATGTGTGAGAGGAGCAAGATATGCCACTGAAATCGTGGCATCAGCAGCTTTAATTAGACCTCTGCCTTACAATGATTAAAATATGACTAAAATGATAAGATGGAGGTTAACATGTAGCTGTCAATGCAGAAAGAGCACATCCCTCTCCCTACAGGTGGCTCCCAGCCACAGGAAGAGCCAGCAGGACCTGTGGCTGATCTCCTCCCACAGAGGAGCACACCCACCACACCACACACAGCGACAGATTCCTGGGTGGCTAAAATACACTTGTGCAGCACAGGTGGGAACTGGAACTCTCCCACTTACTGGGAGAAGGAAGATTTGAGAGTTGCCATTACCAATAATATCAACACCACTTCATCTGTCATTTTCTGCTTAGATACACTATGTATTTCACAATGAGTGGAGAATGCCAACAGAAAATATCACTCCTACGCCCGCTGCTAGGATGCTGGAGTCATATCAGAAGCAGGAATGAGGAAAAAACTCTTGACATTTAAATGACCCTCTTTGCAAATAATCACTTGCAACTGGCAGAGTTTTCCATCTGATGATCTCCCCTCTGCTCAATTATTAAATAAAAAGTTTCCAAATAGCCACAGGAATTTGAGAAGGCATCATTCCCATTTTACTGATGGAGAAAGCTATGCCCATGGATGAACAGAAGGACCATGAGAAGAATAAATATTTGATTCAAGACATAATGCATTCAGTACTTTGGTGTCTTCAATGGGAACAGACAGATGTTCAGGCTTAGAGTTAATACCAACATCTTTTGCCAAACACATCAGGAGATAAGAGGTTTATTCTTTCTACAGTCTCAGTGAGTTAGACACTGTACCTGTAATTGCACTGGAAACGGTGGTAAACAGAGACAGAAATAATTTCCCCAAACAGTGCTAAGAACAGAAGACTGAGGAATATTGGAGCTCAACGTCATCAGCATTAATACTGTGTGGGTAAAACACCCACACACTGCAATTTAGGCCACAACACACTCTGTATTTCAGCCTTAGCAACTTAGGCAGAACTGCCAATGTACCTCAGCTTTGCTTTGCAGCCTATGCACAATTCCAGTGGGAGTAGCCAGTGAACGAAGACTGTTAGTCATATGGAACAATAAGGTGTTTTAAATGAGGACAGATGCCTTCTATCATCAGAGCAGAGACTATCAAATTAATTTCACTTATGGCTTAGAGCGAGCAGGAACCAGGCCCAACCCTCCAGAGAAAACAGGTCAGTGCTCTCCGAGCTGCTCATGCCAGTTAACTCTGTGCCACTGGCAAGCAAGCGGAGACAGGCAGAGTTCAGCCCTAAACCTGGAATGCTGTTACACCACCCGCAGCACAGGTACCACCCTGCGGTGAGCAAGAGTTAAAAGCTCTGAAATTATTGTCAAACAATATTTTCTGAGGATTTTACTAGTTTTTATTAAGAATAATATGCCTTGAGAGGACAAAATCCTTACCAACATCATCAGAGTCAACGGAGGCAAAAAGACGAGACTGCATACCATTGTTATTTCTTGATCTCACACAAGCCAGGTCAGTTACACTTCCACCCTTTCTGAATTTCAGAAATGCTGAAGGGCAAACTGCTAATGCCTGTACCCATGGCAACTCCAGAACCAGCACTGTGGTCACTGGGATGGGCAGACACAGGTCATTTTTGCAGTAAACTTCTGCAGATCTCCAGAATGTGAAAACACCTACTCCACATTTTTTCTCTAGCAGTTTTCTGTTCGTCACCAAGTTCCTCCAAAGCACAAAAAACTGGTCAAGTGAGCCATAAAAATGTCACTTTGTCTACGCTCAATGCTCTTTTTTTGCAAGCACAAAAACACTAAGAGAATGGGGAGGTTTAAAAGCACAGCATTTAAACAAAAGCCGTGAGGCAAAGTATTTCACCTGTCGCATCGTACGTCAAGTGAGAACTAAAAACCAAACCTTTCTTTTTGCAGCTCACCTCCTCTTGGAACGCCTTCAGCTGTTGTTCATACTCTCTAACCATGCCCTGCTTGGATTTTTCCACCTCTTCGACCTGGCGCCGCAACACGCCAACCTGAATCAAGAGTTAAAAAGCAAATTATTACAGCAGTGGAAGTAGACCTCAGGTTAGTAAGTACTAGGAGGTTTCACTGGGGTCCCTCACTGTGAATCAGATTAAATCTATGCCTAAATCTTTGGTAGGCTGGGGCCAGAACTGCTTCTGATATGGCCTCTTTTTTTGAGCCAGTTTCTGGCTTTCATTTTTGGGGATGAAGTTGACTGGTTTGGCTTGTGACAAAAAGGCCACTTCTATCCAGCGTTTTCATCAAATTCTCCACAAATATGCATTATGATTTCAAGCTACCTACCAAGAGAAAGGCTGGCCCTGTCATTATCTGTGCTCAGGTAAAAAATCCAAATGATGAGCGAGAAAGAAATAAATGAGGCTTTGAAATGCACAGAGAATATTTCCCTTACACTGATTCAACTGCTCCTGTGAGTCAGTTTTATCCTTTTTTTTTCCCAGAGTACCCACCCTTCTAACTGCAGGTCCAAAGGACAAAGTGAAATTAGAAGAAATCCCCACAGAAAACTCACATGACTAAATCAAAAGCATGAATATACTTCAGTAATGACTTTAGCCATATTTTACAGTTCAGTTTTGAAACCCCATGTTTTTGGGGGTAAGAAATATTTCAAGTGTCTTGAGAAAACACAATTGATAATAACAACGATAATAATAATGGCCAGTCTTCGTGAGCGAAGATCCGGGGAAGGTCTTTACACCTTCCAGCCTGCGCATTGGATTTTTTAGGTGAGACACAGTGTGCGCGGAACTGAGCCCACCCTTTAATCCTAAGGTTCATCTTCTAGGGCCAAGCGAGCTTGGACGGTGGCAGCGAGGTCCTCAGGACGTAGATGGGTTACCTTTAAGGGTTAACGAGCTCCATCAGCCCGGGAGTGGCCCTGACCGGGAATCGAACCCGAGAACAATGATAACCTATATGATAAAAATCACTATTCCTACAAATGAAAATCCTGTGGCACAACTGCAATTTATGGTCCACATCCTGTGCAAAAATTTCACTGATACTTCTCCACAAAAATTTCAAGACAGAAATTTTTTGCACTTCCCCCAGGCCTTTAATTAAAGACCATAAAAACTGAGCTGCATAAAACAGCCCTTGGAGAATCTCCCAGCAATACCTTAGTGTAGTTTCCAGAAGGAAATTGGGTTTTTTTCTACCAATGACTGCAGGTTGCTGGGCGGTCCATTACTGCTGTAACCAAATCCAGTGTCTCTGGGTTCTCTCTAGAAACTGAGAATTCAATCTGTGAACTTCCACCAACCTTTGAAGAGTTGATCACTTGACTCTGAATTATGAATTGGACACCTCATTCCAACAGGCCCCTTGGTAAATTCTATTCCTGATTTCCTGATTCTAACAGGTAAAACAGACTGGCTGTCCCCAAACAGAAAACAGTATAAAATGGAGGTACCTCCTTCTGTCTTTCCTGCAGAGCAGCCCTGGCAGAGGAAAGCTCCTGCTCCCGAGCACTCAGGCGAGCTTCCAAAGCCTGCGTCTGCCCTTCCCACTCAGACTTCTTGTGAGCCACCATGATGTCGATCTGCTTCATCAGCTCCTGCAGCTCGGCCTCGCAGGAGGTCAGGAACCCACCGCTGGAAGGCAAGGAGCCTGGAGGTAAAAGCAGCATCACCCAACACGGGTCTCATGTCCCAGACCAACAAAGGCAGAGAACACACTTGCACCAAGACACCAACTGTACACTCGAAGTGCTTTGAACACTCTGAAAATCAGCTTGCAGAGAAACAGAATCACAGGATCATTAGGGTTGGGAAAGACCTCCAAGACCATCAAGTGCAACCTCTGACAAAATGCCACCCATGCACACTAAGCCCCATCACTTAGGCATTCATCCCTTTGCCCCAGGACTGTGCATAATCTAAGTAAACCTAAGCATGTTTAATTCATATTTTGTATTTGCCTTAATTGCTCTCCAGGCAGAGGCATTTTAGACCAGGTTTCAGTCACCAGAGGAATCTCACAGCCGAGCTATCAGCTCCTGAAAACAGAAGTTTATCACAAATGCAGACAAACCTCGAAGCAGAGGGGGCTGGATGACAACATGATAATGAAGAATCCAACCCTCGCAATCCATCAGGGAGCACATGTGCCCTAGCAACACCCAGATTTCTAATTTGGTGCAGTAATTATTGAAGCCAATTCCAGTAACTCCTCTAAAACTTCCCAAGCTGCTAAGCCAGGGACAATATTAAGGCTTGCCAGCCACAGCCCTAGAGGGTGGTGAACTCCATAATGATCTTTACCCCTTTAATTTGCCTGTCAAACAGGGAGAACTGAAAAGAAATGGAAATCAATAGGTTAAGAGATAGAAATTTCTCTGCTCTCCCTGGGCATGTGCACACTTCAAAACTTGGCAGTTTTTCTATAGGAAAGAAATACTTCTTAAAGGAGCCAAAATCAGTCACAGTTGAAGCCCACCCTGTCCTGTGAGTTAATGCTAAAAAATTAGCAGCTATTATGCAGAGCAGGAACATTTCCTTCACAGCATCTGCTAACATGTAGCTAAGTCTAAACTTGATTTCTGCAACCAGTTCTCTGAAGAAGATACAGTATCAAATAAATTTGAGTCACATTCTCAAGGATGACTGGGAAAACGACATCAGTGACTTTTGCTTCACGCTTGTTTAACACATAAAACATTTTGTTCCATTATTGTCACTACAGTCTCTCTCGGGGATCGAAAAGTCTACATACTTTCACCTCAGACAGAGCATTAAAGATTCCTCAGAGCTGAATGGGACTCTACAGTTTCAACATGAGCTGGAAATAATCAGATGTTTTCAATAAAAACAGATAACAAAGTCACATCTCATTAACCTTGCATGGCTGCTACAAAATAAATATTTATTCCCAAGAAGGGTTTAAAACAATCAAGGGGAAAAAAAAAAAAAAGGTGGAAGGTTTTCAGGAAGATGTAAAACTAAATTGCTAACATAATATCTGTCCAGGGCTTATTGCAAAGCCAGCTCAGGCAGTGACTTTGCTTCTGCACCAGGTGAAGGCCACTGCACCACTGATACCGGAGGATTTATTCTGAATAGGAGGAAAGGTTAATACTTGAATCATTTTGAATGACTGCTGTGTACAGTTGCATACACACCTCCCCTGCTCATTTCTCTGCATTCCTTCCAGCAAAGCCTCCATCACCAAATCCTGGTGGCTTCAGCAGCTAGGGAAGCACAGGAAAGCAGCAGTCACCCATGGCAATGCACGAACAAGGCTGCTTCTCCACCCAGCTGCAGAAGAAGCAGAAGTCCACAAAGCAAAGAAGTTAAAAAAATTCCAGTGAGCATGCAGTTACAGGTGAGGAAAACAATGGTCACCTTCATGAACTTGTAAGCCAAACATCTGCCAAATAAAGGAACTCCTTAAAAATTCCTCTTAAATTATGCCTTAAATTATGGAAGTAAGTTGAACAGCTTAATAGCAGCAGTACATTGTTTTAGTTAAAAATCACACCTTTTAGGTCACAAACACAGGTATGTGTGCATACACATAGAAATTTCACATACTGGTGAAGCAAGAAGGGTTCACATTAAACGCAAAAACAGGGAGTAAAAAGTTACCATGGAACCATGGCCAGAAATCCAGAATTTATTTCAGTGGCTCCTCCATGAAACTGCAGCTCTCTAACATAAAAATGGTTAAACTCATCCCGAGGACAGAGACTTTGGTTTCACCCTGTGGAGGTATTAACACCAGCTTCTCTTTCCAAAACCTACACACTGTCTCAAGTATTGGAGATGGATCCTTCCAACATCTTCCTCAAAGATTAATACAGCATCATTTAGCAATCAACAAAAGGGGAACAGGTCACAGCAAGGGAGACTTTTTAAAAAGTAGGCTCAGCTCTGCTTTCACTTCCCTAAGAACCTTCTATCCTCTTCTAGAGCACTTTAAACACCATCCAGGGATTAAAGCCTGTCCTTGGGAGTTCTGCTGCGTTTTAAATCACACTCACACAGAAAATATACAGAAAAAAAATCCTATCCCTATTCTGATAGTGTTTTGTCTCTCTTTGGTCCTGCCTGTGCTTAACAAAACTCCATCAGTATGCAGAACACCTCCATGGTACTGCTGAGGGCAGGGTGCTGAGCAGAGCAGATGAGCACATCCCCTGAGCTGCTGACAGCATTCCAAAAGTTCTCCAGGTGGCAACAGCAGACATCAGGCAGCAAGAGCTCTTCCCTACCATTCTAATCACACCTACACAGAATCAATTTTCAGTGGGCAGAGAGATGAGGAGACAGAGAGCATAGAATCTTAGAACAGTTTGGGTTAGAAGGGACCTTAAAAATCATCTTGTTCCATTCCCTGCCACAGGCAGGGACACCTTCCACTAGCCCAGGTTGCTCCAAGCCCCATCCAACCTGGCCTTGAACAATTCCAGGGATGGGGCAACCTGTGCCAGGGCTTCAGTACCTCAAAGGGAAGAATTCCTTCCTAGTATCCAATCTAGCACTGTCCTACCATGACATGCCCTTGCTTCTATCATCCTTTAAGCAGGGCCCCCACAGTACACCTGACTCTGCCAGCTTTGCATACCTAGAATCATAGAATCATAGAAGAGATTGGGTTGGAAAAGACCTCCAAGATCATCAAGTCCAACCCCTGATCCAACTCCAATTACTATATCATGGCACTAAGGGCCATGTCCAATCTCTTTTTAAAAACCTCCAGGGATGATGAATCCACCACCTCTCTGGGCAGGCCGTTCCAATGCCTGATTACCCTCTCTGTAAAGAATTTCTTCCTAACATCTAACCTAAACTTCCCCTGGCAGAGCTTGAGCCCATGTCCCCTTGTCCTGTTGTTGGTTGCCTGGGAGAAGAGACCAACCCCCACCTGGCTATAACCTCCTCTCAGGTAGTTGAAGAGGGTGATGAGGTCACCTCTAAGCCTTCTCTTCTCTAGACTAAACAAATCCAGCTCCCTCAGCCTCTCCCCACAGCACTTGTGCTCAAGTCCCTTCACCAGCCTGGTTGCTCTTCTCTGGACCCGCTCCAGCACCTCAATATCCTTCCTGAACTGAGGGGCCCAGAGCTGAACACAATACTCAAGGTGTGGCCTCACCAACGCAGAGTACAGGGGAAGGATCACTTCCCTGCTCCTGCTGGCCACACTGTTCTTGATGCAGGCCAGGATGCCATTGGCCTTCTTGGCCACCTGTGCACACTGCTGGCTCATGTTCAGCCTCCTGTCGATCAGCACCCCCAGGTCCCTTTCTGCCTGGTTATTCTCCAACCACTCTGTGCCCAGCCTGTAGCGCTGCAGGGGTTGTTGTGGCCAAAGTGCAGGACCCGGCACTTGGCCTTGTTGAACTTCATCCCACTGGAGTCAGCCCAACTCTCCAGTCTATCCAGATCCCTCTGCAGAGCCCTCCTGCCTTCTAGTAGGTTGACACTCCCTCCCAACTTGGTGTCATCAGCAAATTTGCTGCCACCTTACCCAGGTTTTGGGGAAAAGCCTTAAAATCAGACATCTCTACCTGGTTTATGCTTCATCAGGTTCATTGTTTAGTACTAAATTTTGGCCTCTCAAGCTTGCAGGTCACATAGTGCCAGTGTAGAGGCCCAGAGAAGTTGCCTTTAGTCACAGCAAATCACAGGCACCCGAAGTAAAGACCCCACAGCTACCACAAGAGAGGACAATCTCCCTCATTAACTACAGCTGAAGCAAGGACAGCTGACTGGTCACTTCTGAAAAAGTGAAGAAAATGGAAACATTTGGAAAAAACAAACAAACAAACACCAAAAACATTTAAAAATAAACAAGGCTTATCATCCCAACTCGAGACAGAACTGTAGTAGATTCAAGTGTAGAAAACCAGACAATACACAGGAGGACTTAAGAATAATGCCCTTAAGAAAAGACTGGGATTACTTTGCATTTAAAAGCACAGAAAGATGCAATTTCGAAGTGTTGCTGGAAACATGCTTACAATGAACAGAAAAGCAGCAACAACTTCCCAAAAGCACTGCCAGAGACGTGCCAGTGGCCGGAATGCCACCTACGGCAGGAGCCGTGTGAAAACCACTCGTCATCGGGGGAAGAATAACGTAATCAGGTCGGAAAAGACCTCCAGGATCGCTGAGTCCAAGCTATGACCGAACATCACTTTGTTCCCCAGCTCAGAGCACCGAGTGGAGTCCCCCCCCTCCCTGGGCAGTCCCTGCCAACGCTGGACAGCCCTTTCCGTGGAGAATTTCTTCCCACTGTCCGACCTCAGCATCCCCCGGCGCAGCTTAAGCCTGTGAGGTGACTGCAGGAGTGACCGCGGCCAGCGTACCCGGGCAGCGCCACCGGCCCCGGCGGAGCATTCCCAATTCCCGCTGCGCTCCCGCTCCTGCCCAGCAGGAGCCTCCCCGCTCTCCGCCCATCCACGCTGTTTACCCCGCACCCGCCGCGGCGAGTTTCGCTGCCCGGGGCCCCTCCGACGCCGCTCCCCTCGCCTCCCTCCCCGCAAACACCCCGCACTAGCCGGCCGACCTCCCTCCCCGCAAACACCCCGCACTAGCCGGCCGACCTCCCTCCCCGCAAACACCCCGCACTAGCCGGCCGACCTCCCTCCCCGCAAACACCCCGCACTAGCCGGCCGACCTCCCTCCCCGCAAACACCCCGCACTAGCCGGCCGACCTCCCTCCCTCTCCTCCTCCCTCCCTCCTTGCGCCCTTCCCGCCTTTCCCCACCTAACGGCGGGCCCGGCCCGGCCCGGCCGCACTGCGCCTGCGCGGGGACCGCGCCTGCGCACGGCAGGGCCCGGCCATGGGCAGGGTACGGCGGGCGGGGGTCAGTGCGGGGACATTGGGGGGACACGGGAGGGGCACGGGGCGTACAGGGAGGACACCCGGGGGGACACACGGGGGGTATATGGGAGGGCACGGGGGGGACGCCGGAGGGGGCACTGGGGAGACACTGGTTACCGGGGGGATCATGGGGGCCACGGCGGGCTCACCGGGAGAACATTGCAGGGACATTCGGGACGGTACTGAGGGTACCACGGAGGGGACACCGGAGAGGGACGCAGTGAGGATACGGGAGGACGCGGGGCTGAGCCGGCGCGGATCGCACGACCCCGGGGCTGGGACCGCTCAGCCCGGTGCCCATCGCCGCCCCGGGCAGCGGGGTGTATTTAAATAAATACCTGTAGTCACCTACCCTGATCTGGTGTTAAATAAATACTTGTAGTCATCCACCCTGTTACGATCGAGCCGCAGGGTCACAACGGGGCGAGTCCCTGACGTGACACTTCAGGGAGGGCAGGGTACAGTGAAACACCCCGGAGGGGTTCTTGTAGCTGGTGGTGAAAGATAGGTCTTGTTTTATTTCTGTTTCACCAGCTTCCTGGACTTCAGATTCGGGCAGGATACTGGGTGCCGTGAAATCCTTTGCTGTGACTCTGCCAGATTCGTGAAGCCCTGGGTGAGGCACAGCACTGCTCAGGGCAGCAAAGGGTTCTTGGGCAGAGTTACAGGGGTGCTAAAACTCACTCAAAGTAGACTTCTAAAAATCAGTCAGTAGATACAAACACATGTAAATATCACTAACAAAAACCTGCTGGTTTTGTATATTTGTCTCTGATGCATATCAGTCTGCAAATCACTTTAATAGTGTTCTGTTCAGGTGAAGTAGTTCTCTTGCAGTTATAAGTGGATTAGGAAAATCAAGGTTTTCCTTAAAAGTTTAAGCCTAGCAGGAATTAGATCCAAACTGGAGCAAGCCCAGAGTCTGAACTGCAGTTCCTGGCTGGGGATGTTGTTGGGAACAGCATCTGCTTTGTGTCACAGGTTTAGCTGCACTCACCTGCTGCGAGGATGGACAGTGAGGTGCAGAGGGATGGCAGGATCCTGGATTTGATCGATGATGCGTGGAGGGAAGATAAATTGCCATATGAGGACGTGGCTATCCCTCTGGTAGGTGAATTGCTGCTTATCAATCTGAGTTAAGGCTGCTGTGTTTATCACAGCTCCTTCCAAGAAGCAGCACAGGGTGTTGCTTGTGGTGCAGCTAATTTGTACAAAAGGCTCCTGGGATGGATCTGACTCTTTCCTTACCCTATATGCCAGTCACTCCTGTGTGCATGAAGACGTGGATATTTCTGTCCCACGTCCCCTGACCAGTTGTTGAATCTTCTCAGAACTGGAGTGCCCTCCCATCACACTGTTTTGGGTTTGGCATCAGGGAGAAGTTCTGGTTTGGAGAACAGAGATGATCAGTCTCACGCTGACAGTCACAGTCCTGGTTACACTTTATTTCTACTTCCTGAAATTCCATTCAAAGAAGATGAAAAATTTCATACCTGTTTCCAGTCAGTCTTTTCCAGATGCAGTGTTGCTGTTGCCAGTTCAAGGACAGCAGTGTTGTGTCCAATGCATGGCAGCTGTCCTTTCATCCAGGGCTACCGGGCGGGAGAAGGGCAGCAGGGGAAAAGCTCTTGCTGATCCCACAAAGCCCAGAGTTGAAGCTTCAGATCTCCCCTCTGAAACCTTTCCTTAGCTACTTTGAAACTTCTAGGGAAGTGGGAGGTAGCTGAGGATTTCCCCTTTCCTTGTTCTCTCCGGTACATGAGCTTTACCTTGGCTAGCACTGACAAGGCAGTTGTGGGGATCATGAGTTTCCTTCAGCACAGAGAGATTTCCAAATTGTGACGTGGCTCAAGCTTTAGCCCTTCCACCACTGCCCTTTCAGGGAGGACAAGGAGCAGCTGCACAACTCCAAAATCCATATATACAGCACACAGGTTTTCCTGCCAAGAGCTGGGCTTGGGGGAAGGATCTTGCAGAACTGGAATTATCAGATAAAAGAGCCCAAACCCCCTATTGCTTTGGATAACATTTATAAGGCAGGCTGAGTATAATAAACTGGTTCCTTTCTGGCATTTGCCTTTACCTTGAGTCCCAACATTACTGTTTCTTCCCTTACAGCCACCTCTTGGGCTACGTACAGTCACATAGAGATGGTGGCCCCAGAGCAGGAACTAACTCACCAACTAACAGTAGGAAGAAAGGCCTTGCTGTGGATATTAAAATCCCCAGAGATGAAATTGGCTCTGATCACATGGGAAAAGCAGTATGAATTCACAGGAGACTTACTCAGGAGCACTGTAAAGGAACAAACAGAATGGCTGTGAAGTGCTCTTTGAGCCTGTCCTGAGCATTTGCTCCAGTGCTCACTTGAGAGATTCCTGGGAACTCAAATGGGCTCGAACCATAATTGTTTTCAAAACTGAAACATTTTAGTTAGCTCATGCTGGGATTTCCAGAGATCTAGAACTCGGAATTCCTGCCCAAATGGTATCTGGCAGAATAGCACTCAGTGTGACTGCAGCAGTACAGCAACACAGAGAACAAATAATAGAGGGAAAATGAAGTCTCAGTTAAACTATCCTTCCTCCTTACCATGTCGTGAGCAGCTCTGTGCCACACCTGGTAGGGAGTTCTGAGTTCTGCTGTTGATCCAGCACAGCCACACCTGAGTCCAGCATGTAAAGAGAAAGGATTTCTCACCTGCCATGGGAAAGAAATGTGTTACAGAATCAGTTGTCTTAATAACAGCTATAATAACTGCAGTATCTGTATTCTTGCCAACAGCAGGAGCAGCACATTGCAAACAAGCAATGGAATAATTGCATTGCACTGTTATTTACTTACTTTGCATTTGCTATATATTCTCCTTCACTGTGTGGCAGTCTGAGTGTATAGCAAGGCCCCAGGGTCCTGGAAAACCAATTTACCTTTTAGATTAAGCACCATATTCATGTGAAAAGAATATTGTTCATAACAGGGCTCAGTAATATTTTTAAGTGGATCAGTATGTATGATATTTATTGTTCAGATGCACCCTCCGGTCTCATTTGTATTTATCCATACAAAGCCTTAACAACCTGCTGCTTTCAGGAAGTATATTATGTGTGGAATGCATTGTACCTCTGTTTTGTTCTCAGAATGAGCTCCCTGAACCAGAGCAAGACAACGGTGGCACCACCGAGTCTGTGAAAGAGCAAGAAATGAAGTGGACAGATTTGGCTCTCCAGTATCTCCATGAAAACGTTCCACCCACGGGAAACTAGTGAATCAGTGAGATTTCATGCAGCAGATGCATGAATGCCACATAAAAATATTTTTCAGCTGACCACTGTTGTCAGAAGCTGCTCTAAGAAAGAACCAGCATTCCTGAAACATTTAGATTCCAGCAGTGTTCACAGCGACCAGTTTAAAATGCTTCTGTAATGAGTGTTAAATAGCAGAGGTTCTCTGACACCCAGAGCTAAGAGCAAAATGTTTCACTTATTTATTTCATTTTTTCTGTAAATTTTTCTTAAGTTGGTGCCAATTCTGATCTTCAGTGTTTTCTCCACATGATTAAAAAGTAGCTTTTTACTGCCTTGAGTTGTTACTGATTTCAAAGCTCACAATGGGATCATTGTCTAGAGTTCAGTGTACAAACCCAAATAGCTGTGAGTTGTTACCATCTTCCACTAGTGTGTGGCTGAGGAAGGATGTGTGGGGCAGGTGTGAAAGGCTGGTCAATAGATCCAAGAGCTGGAAGTAACCTGTACACACAGGTGGTCACTTGACCTCCTCATCTCAGGATCTGATACTGGAGGTGGAGAGCATTTCCAGTGCTGACCTCCTGGGAATGTTTGCCAACATGAACACCATGAACAGACAGAATTTATGCTAGAATGGTGCTTACTCAAAATCATGGTCTTTAGAGGAATGACTGAGAGTTCCAAGGAAGAGCCTGCCAGTCCCAGGGTACTGCCAGTCCCAACCTATTGAAATGAGATGCACTTGGATGAGCTACCTCAGAAGGGAAATGGGAATCCAAGGAAAGAAACAAGTTAGAGCTTAGCTTCAGGCAACAAGTTGTTACCTCTTTTTTTGTGTTGAGAAGAAAGGCAAGGCCCTCTTGATTTATCCCATTTTATCTCTGATTCACAGATGTCCTTTGCAACAGGTAAAAGCCTTCTGTTCATCTTCGTGTTTCACTGTTGGACTGATTCCGTCTCACCATTGGCAGAACTTCTTGCTAAGGAGAAAATGTTTTGACAGAGTTTAGGATTACTGGTGGGGGTGAGAAAGGAACTGGAAGGAAAACAATGTTTAAATTATATTCTTTTGCCAGTGCAGCAGAAAAAGCACTGTCCTGGACTTCCAGACTCCACAGAAGTTTTTGGGTGTCTTTTCTCAGTGTTCATCCTCTCCAAAATAACAAACCCCAGCTTTTGCCTGGGTGATCCATGCCTGCACCAGACAAGCAGCACACATTTGTCTGAACAAGAAGGAGCTGCAGACAGGCAGCAGGAAGAGTTAAGGATTAACCCAAGAATTAGCAAAGTCAAAAAGCTTAGTTTGCACAGCATGGACCAAAGAACCAGCTATGCAGCTGGGAGCTGTAATAGCTCAGCTCCTCCTTGGATCATTACCGGGGCAAAAAGCAGAGCCTGTGCTTAATGAGGGAGTTCTGATCCTCCCCAGGTTCCCTTTCCCTCGCCTACAGTTAGAAGAATTTGCTAAGAAAACATCAGGCAAAGCTACCACCCAGCTTCTATCCAGCAGCTATCCCCACTCTCTCTTCCCTTCCCCTCTCACCCCTTTTCAAGCTCCCAACCACCCTTTCTTCCCAATTTTGCCACTATATCTATCTTCCAGCTTCAATTTCAGTCTTCCTTTCCTGCCCCTGGCAGTTGTCTTTGCTTAGCTATCTTCTTCCTCCCATCCATCAAGGAAAGAAAAAGCCTTTCTTACTTGAATTAGAGCTGAATTCATGATCCTCTAGCAGGTCTGCAAGAAAATGTGGTGGGAATGCCAGTTGTATGACTGTCATCCAAGGCAGCAGATGCTTGGGAGCCCAATGGTGAGCCAGACTGCCCCAAGTACCTTCCCTTTGTTGCGCATAGTGCTGTGCACCCGCCTCCTGCCCGAGGGGACAGGGCTTTGTGGGTTAGAAGGGACTCTACAGAGCAGGAGGAACGTGGAAGGTTAGGGATCATCATGAACTCTCCAAAGGCAGGGCCCTGGGAAACCAAGCACTGGCCCTGCCCAGATGCTTATCAGACTTGCAGTGACACCTACGATCCTCTTGACATTCTTTGCAAAAGACAGACAGACAATAATTTCCTTTGTTTCAACACAGTGTAGTCAAATTGCTGCTTACAGCGTGATACCAACCCATTTGTGTCTTTGATTAGTCATCTCCTAGGGTAAACTATGTTTAAATTAAGGAAACCTGTCAGAATAGAAAGTGCCCCACCTTTTTAAGAAGAAGCTTCAGTTGTATAACTAAAGACTGGTCTTCATTTCTGGGCTGGTAACTTCCTGCTTTCACCACACCTACTGGGACAGGCAGAAAAAAGAAGGGAGCAAACTGCTGTCAGAGCCAGCAGACACATGGCAAAGAAATTGTGGGATCCTTAAAGTCTCTTACCCATAGAAGCTCCATGTGGAAGTCCATATGCTGAGGCTGTGTGTTGTGTTCATCTACCTTTTGCATGGGGTGAAAACAGGTAAGAAATCAAGCGTTTGTTTTGAATGTTTTTGTCAAATATAACACACTGTGCTTTAGAGAAACGTGACTGTGTCTGCCCTCTGCGTTACAGTTACTGGGTAGGGTTTCTTATTGGCATTATTTATTTCAGCGAAGCAAATTATACTGGTTACATGGATGGAGTCAGTTCTAAGAGTTCCAAATGTAAAACCAGAAGTATTTTTTTATTATCTTTTCCTCCCTTTGCAAACATTTCTCTTATATAAGTACTATCCATCTACACTGAAAATGTCATTTGAAATCTTCAGAGAATAATGATTTCTTTTCAGGGGTGTCGTGTATGACCGAGGCAAAGGATGAATTACCATTTATGAACAGTAAGCTCCATTTGATATCCTCACAGCCCTACAAGAATCAACCTGTGTAACAATAAACAAATGTACTGCCTTGCGTTAGCATACACATGGGAACAAGTCAAGTTACAGCTCTCTGCTTTGTAGGGAAAACAAACAGGGTTAAAAAAACCAGTATTCTTATAAATACTAACTTGTATTTCATCGGGTCCTCTGGAGTAATCTCGGGGTCACATTTTGCTTAGTTTGTTTAATACACTGTAGGCAATGTAGTCACAAGAAGTGGGGAAAAAAGAATTGTGTGAAAAGGCAGGAGGAAACCAGGGAGCTATTGAGGACCAGTTTAAGATGTGGAGGGCACACTCCCTGTGGAGAAGTGATGGAAATCTTCACCAGTGCTCCTGAGATTCACGGCGCGGTTGTGAAGTCTGCTGAAAGGGGAGAGTTATTGACGATGGTTAAGAGCAGTCTGTTGAAACACACTGCACAGAGCCCAGGCAAGGTGGCAGAGTGCCAGAGAACCTGCAGGCAGACAGGGAAGCATCTCTGTGTCCCAAGGACCACAGCTGGGACAAGTGACCACTGACCCACTGATGTGAAAAATCTGTTGGAACTTCCCTTTGCAAGAGAACAGACTGGTGGAGGTAAAAAAACTCAGCTGCTATTCTGTTCATGCAGACAGCTCAGGACCACAGCCCCACAGGCAAGCCTGTCCATAGGATCAGCATCCAGGACAGACAGAACAAAAAGCCTCCAAACACCATCTCCAAGAAAGAAATGAGAGAGGCCAGGGGAGTGCAGGCCTTAATAGCACTGCCTGGGACTGTTCTTGGGACCACAATACTCCCACCCAGGAGTATGTAACTTCAAAACATACATGTTCAAAGTGAAAGAGAGTATGTTTAGATTACATATTAGGAAGAAATTGTTCCCTGGGAGGGTGGGGAGGCCCTGACACAGGTTGCCCAGAGAAGCTGTGGCTGCTCCATCCCTGCAAGTATCCAAGGCCAGATTGGACAGAGCTTGGAGCAACCTGGGAAGATCTCCTTGCCCATGGCAGGGGGTGGAACTGGATGGCCTTTAAGGTCCCTTCCAACCCAAAGCATTCTATGATTCAATCATGATATATATTTAGGTATGTAAGTTCAGAACCAGGTTATTTTGAAGGTGCCTCTCCTGCTGCAATAGCACCTTGGAGGCTGATCTCAAGCTCAAGACCAAAGGTGTCCAGCTCCCAGGCAGGGGACATGGATTTCACACATTTTTATGCCCCCTGCTAGAGGTCCTGGAACCTCAGAGCACCTTGCCCAGCAGACTAATGTTTTGCCCCTATTTTACATATCAGAAAACTGAGCAGGAGAATGTGAAGTGCCAGAGTCTGTCTAGCAAGCTAATGGCCAAGGCAGGGCCAGGGGTGAGCTAATAGCATGCTGGGTTAATTGCCACATTCATTCACCTTTCCTACAGGGAAAGTTAAGTTAGTTAAGTACAGTGCCAGGCTGTAACTTTCCACCTCACTTTTTCATTTGCAGACTTAATCTCAATAAGCCACTTACCCCAATCATCTTGGAGTTTGGCAAGCCATTTGGGTAGGAGTCACTGTGCTCATCAGAAGGAGGAGCAAAGCCAGGATAACTGGACATCCTGATGTGTCAGGATGAGGCTGAGATGGGCACCATACTGCCAGAAGAGAAGCTGGCAGTTTTCTTCCCCTATAATAATATTACATATTATAATCCTGATCTGATTTTAATAACCAAACCAGAACTAATCCGTGTCAGATATCAGCAAATGCTGACCAGCTTTTTGAAAGCTCCTCTGGACCAGAAGGTTTGGGCTATTCTAATGACAAACACAGTGCTCCTCTGGGCAAGTCTCAGCACAAGGCAGGAGATACAGAAACAAATTAAGCAATCAGTGCAATCTTGCACCCTATAGAAGTAATTCTTGCCTGGCATTTCTGCCTCTATTACTACAGCTTCAGTGGTGGTAAAGATGATTAAGAACACTATATAATACTGCTATACAATAACTAAAACAATGCCTAGTTATTAGTACAACCAAGATAGCTGTATTTTTTTATGCTGCAGTAGCACCTAGAGGACAGTCACTGAGTCTCACTGTGCAAGCTGATGTAGATCAGCAAAAATGTTACCTTTCCTCTGCCAGTTACTCTGAGATCTCCACAACAGCAGTGTCACAGGAGAACTCTTGCTGCTCTTTCACTGGAGCTTCTTGGCACTGCAAGAATGAGGTGAGAGCAGGCTAGCCAGGAGACAGCCACCAGGTGACCATGCCTCTTGGGAGCAGGGCCCAGAGCCACACTGCCCCTGGGAGCCCTGAGGGAAGCATTAGGGAGCCAGAACACCTCCTATTCAAAGGCTCCTGCTTGCAACCCACATTCACTGGGCCTGGCTGAGGGCTCATTTCCCACCACTCCTGTCTCACTGTTCATATGGTACCACAGGCTACATACAGGAAGGACTCCATGGATTTCAGATGTTAAAATTTATGGTAGTAATTTAAAATATTCAGTTGGACTTAACTGCAACATCCTTTTAGCCTATTAACTTTTATTTCTGGAGCTCCTGGGGCTTCTACAGAGTAATTAGCAGAACTATGGCAACTGAGAAGACTGGTTTATGTGCTGGGCACATAGAATTTATATCACTCTCATGCTCCCACTTTCCAAAGGAGGAGAAAAGGGAAAGTGGCTCATAGAAACTGTGAGAGTTTCATCATTCAGAAGTTAAAATGCACAGAGCATTAGAAATTTGCTAGAGCACAATTAGGTTACAGCTGCAGGTTTTCTAAACTCTTCTACCCACTGCACAGCCTTTTAAGCAACAAAGATCAGGAAGATTCCTCTAGGAATTGCAGCCTGAACAATTGCTGCAGCCCAGGGCAAATGTGTGAGAGAGACACTCTCCCCCACAA